CCGGTAAGGCTGGGAATAACCGCGGCGAGGCTGAGCGAAGTCCTGCGTCTGACGATCTGCAGGCACGCCGTACAACTCTAGGAGTGTATTGGCAGATCCGTCGATACCGCCGCCACCTCCGCCGCGACCACCGCCGCGGCCATCGCCGCGTCCGCCGCCGCGATTGCCGTCATATCCTCCACGTGCAAAATTACCGTCTGAGCCTCGGCCGCGACCTCTCCCTCTGCTCCGCCCGCCATAGCCTCCCCGGCCGCTATTCTCCTCCGGAAACGGGCCATTAACCTGTAAATTAATGTCCTGAAAATTCCGGTCTTGAGAATTTCGATCTTGAGAATCTCGACCCCGCCCTCTGCCTCCGCCCCTGCGCCGGCCGCCTCGTCCGCTTTGCCGATCGGAATTCGTCGGAAGGGATTCCGGAGGCTGATAATTGCGGTTGTTGGGAAAAGCTGCGCCAACGTTATTATCGGACATGCTTACGTCGGGAAGACGATCGACGAGCGGCCTCTGAATTTCCGTTGACGCGTGAGCTCCAAAAAGGATTAAGAAAACGAAAACGAAGGTACGGCGAGAGCCTGAATAGAATGCGGGGGTACTGAATACCTTTCTTGCTGTCTGCTTCTGTCGCAAGAACCAGACGATCCCCGCTCCAGACTACCTACTATCTACAATGACCTCCTAGCAAAGCTGCTAGTTACTTCAGAACTACGCAAAGCCGTCCTCTAAAGAGGGATAATTATGTATGATTTGAGTCCTTGTCGTGAATCTTGCTGATGAGTATGTATGTCACCAACAGAAGAGCAGACCCGAATAGAGCCGAGTAGAACCGAGCGGAAACAAGAAGCACCACGCGAACTCGTTGCGCTGGCATGCACTCAACTGGGGGAAAGGAAGAACCGCGCTTGCCAGGATGGTGGGGTGGGGTGGCGGGCGGTTGTGAGGTGAAGTGTTGCGTGTGCACGAAGCAGGCGCGGGGCGGAAACCCCGAGGTCACGCGGACGAGCAAAATTCGGTGGAGGAATCTGGGTTTCTGAAAAACCCTGACACGCACTCGTTACACGAGCTGGGATTGGTTCTGGATTATTTGCGAACTCGCGATGGGCATTGTAAACATTTGTAGTGTTACAGCTACACGCAGCAATTTCGCAGTCGGTGCACGTAGACCGATATATTCAACTTATCAGCTGCCTACACGCCCTTGATGTCATCGCTGAATGGCACGGGCTGAACTCCAGTTCTCATCAAACCAGCGCCTTCCACATCAGCTGCGACCCGACTGTTCAGCGAGCGCCGCGTGGAGCTAAGGCAATCCCCACGCCTGGCTAATCCCAAGCCTTGAACTGCCGTCAGCTACAGAGCCTCCCCTCAAGGAAGTCCGGATTTTGTTTTCACCATACACAATCTTTCAGGTTGTGTAATTAACCGTGACGAAACGCACTAACCTGCTGTAAAACTTCTAGTATAGCTGCTTATTGGATTGCTCACTCCTTCCCTCCAGGAATGCGTTGGCGGTATCACACTCGGATGTTCTCGCTATCTCCTCGCTTTGATCGTGTGGCCATGCGTAAGGATCTAAGGAGCTTATCACCACAAATTCCTACAACGGTTGTTCCACGTCTTACGAGTCTGGGGACCGTGCTGCTTAGTTGATTGATAACATGAAACTTGCAATCTTACGCCGTTCAGTCAGCGTTTGACTCAAACATTCCTCGCGTAGGAATTGTCGTTGTGGTGAGGCTCAAAACAGAATATATTTAGGCCAAAAGGCGCGATCCAACTTTTAAGTTCACTCAAGGAGTGACGGCGATATGAGGCCGGTCGTCGCGCCGCATCAAGCGCTACTCGCCGGCAGTAGGACCAACCTCGCTGCCGCTTCCGCAACCACGTCCGCTTGCGCTTCCGCCTGCACCTCTGCCGCTTCCGCTTCCGCTTCAGCCTGCGCCAGCGCAGCTTCCGCCTCCGTTTCCGCAGGCGGTGTTTCCCCGCGCAGGAGGAGCGGATCGTACGCCAGAGCCGTCCGATCTCCCACAAGGGCTGTCCGAGCCAGCAGATCTGCCGCGGTTCCCGGCGCTGATTGCGGCGGGCCGATGTATCGTCTCGCTGCCGCAGCTGTGGCAGCTACAGCAGCCTCAGCGCGTAGACATTCCGCTACAGCCGTTAGAGCAGCTGCAGCAGGTGGTACCAATTCAGCCGCGAGAGCAGCAACAGCTGCTACGACCGCCAGATCGGCTACAGCCGGCGCAGCTGCTACAGGCGTTGAAACAGGTTCGCCGGCTAGAACTGCTACAGCCGGCACGGAACAGGCGTTTCGGAGTGCCTGGAACAGATCGGCTGTAGCGCAACGTGATGTGAGCTGTAATGCAACGGTTTTCCCAGTTTCCCAGCCGGCTGTAGCTCGTTCAGTTGTACCCCAGCCGGCTGTAGCTCAACCAAATGTAGGTCGAAGGTTTACGCCTTTAGCGGGAGCCACGTCACCTGGTGCTACTTATTCGTCCACGTTGCTCAACGGCAGCAGCAGCGGTCGCGTCAACGGCAGCAGCAGCATCAGCAGCAGCAGCAGCAGCAGCAGCATCACCAGGAGTAGTAGCGGCAGCAGCAGATGCCTCGCGGCTGGATTCACGAGCAGCAGCCTTCTTTGCGGAAAAGGGGTTGGCGGGGGTGCCGGTGCTCGTGTTGGTGTTGGTGGTGGCGGCGGTGGGAGCAGCAGTGGCCTCATTGGTAGCAGAAGCAGCAGAACAGCAAGCAGTAAGGGTGGGAAACAGATTACCAGGCTTGTACAAGCAGCTGCTGGTAACGCAGCGGCTAAAAGCGGAGCGGGTAAGAGCGGAGCAGGCTCTTTGAGTGAGAGGGTGAGGAAAGGCGCTCTGGTGGAGTTTGAAAAGGAACAGCAGAGACACGTGGTGGGGGTGGTGATGCGACCAGAAGGGAAGAAGAACTGGATCGTTATGGACCAGGTACATACGCGTTATAAGCATGGAACTTGGCTGGGAATGCTGGTATTTTTATGGATACGTCTGTAGTGCTGGGATACATCGAGGTCAAACTTGGAGTCGAATATTAAGGAATCCATCGCAATTTCCTCCCCTGCTTTCTTTCCTCTGTGCCACTCAATCACAAAACGGCAACACATTTCACAGACTTCACCATATTCCTCCCCTGTTTCCCTGCTCCTTTCCTCTCTGCCGCTCAATCGCAGAATGGCAACACATTTTCACAGACTTCACCATATTCCTCCCCTTTTTCCCTCCTCCCTTCCTCTCTGCCACTCATTTGCAGAACGGCAACACTTTCTCTGTGAGGCCACAGCAGCTGACCTTTGTGGAAGTGGGGGAGGAGGACTTCAATGCCGCTGATCTCTCTTCCTTCCTTTCCTCCGTCGACTCACTAACGGTTAGAGACTCAACACTCTGTGATTGTGCAAGCGTTTCAAGTCTTGGTTCCTCTAAGCTCCTTTTCCTCGAGTGACATTTTTTTCTTACAATAACTTTCAGAACCCATTCTGCATTTCTCTTCATATTTGCCTGAGGCTTCTTGAGTCTAGTCTTACCTCATTCTTCCATTGTCTCTCCCCTGTAGCGGTCTTTGTCACTTGCTGCTCCTGTCATGTTCGAATTCAGGCCCTAAGTCTTAAACCCGAAACCTCTCACTTAAACCCTGCCTGCCTTCGCAACCACCAGGCTGATGCGTCCCTTTTGGAGATGGTGTGGGAGATGTTCCTTTCAGAGCAGCCCACAGTCACGGCCCAGGAGTTTGCAGAGGTAAAACTCCACTTGCTAGCCTCTGTTTTGATTTTGTACTCGTTATTAGCATTCCAACAACGTCACTCTGGGAGATGGTGTGGGAGATGTTCCTTTCAGAGCAGCCCACAGTCACGGCCCAGGAGTTTGCAGAGGTAAAAGCCGTGTTGATCTTGTACTCGCTATAAGCATGCCCCTTCATGCAAGCCCACAGTCACCCTCACCCTCTCACTCTTACCTGCCAGATCGCCTTTGGGGAGGCTGAGGACCCGCTAGTGCCGCACTTTGCCACCCACCGCATGCTGATTGCCGACTTGACTCTCTGACTGTTCCCCCCCACCCTCCTCATCCTCATCCTCACCCCCTATCTACCTGCCAGATCGCCTTTGGAGAATCGGAAGATCCGCTAGTGCCGCACTGTTGACTTGACTCCCTGACTCTCTCTCCCCACGCTCACTCTACTCTCACCGTCTACCTGCCAGATAGCATTTGGAGAGACTGAGGACCCGCTGGTCCCACACTTTGCGGCCCACCGCATGCTGACTGCCGACCGCATCTTCTTCAAGCGAGTCCGCGGCGCCACCCACTCCTTTGAGCTGCGCCCGCCCGGGCAGGTGGAGCAGCTGAGGAAGCAGGCAGCAGCGGAAGCAGCAGTGAGAGCGGAGCACCGCATGCTGTTGACTTGACTCTCTGACTGTCCCTCCCCACCCTCCTCATCCTCACCCTCTCATCACCTGCCAGATTGCCTTCGGAGAAGCAGAGGACCCACTAGTGCTGCACTTTGCGGCCCACCGCATGCTGACTGCCGACCGCATCTTCTTCAAGCGAGTCCGCGGCGCCACCCACTCCTTTGAGCTGCGGCCGCCCGGGCAGGTATTATCTGTCCTGTGCTTAAAGCCCACCCCAACTCAGCTCTGATTCCTAGTCAAAACCCAGCTGGCGAAACCCAGATAATGTGTATCAGTTAAAGCTATCTCCTTAACCCCATCTCAACAGGTGGAGCAGCTGAGGAAGCAAGCAGCAGCGGAGGCAGCAGTGAGGGCAGAGCAGGAGGAGTTTGTGACCTGCATTCGAGAAGCGTTAAGGCTGCCCCCTGCGCTAAAACCCACACCGGAGATCTGGAGAGAAAGAATAGAGGGAATAGAGAGGGCAGAGGAGCAGGGAGGGGCAAGGGAGGGGGGTGAAGGAGGAGGAGGGGAGGGGGGAGGGGAGAAGCACGGGCATGGGGTTTGGGGGGGACGTGGCGGCCCGGGATTGGCTGCGAGGATGCAGGCACTGTTGGAGTATGCGGAGGAGAAACCAGGTGGCAACACGTCATTGGCCGAGGAGGTGGGTGCGAGATGATGATGAGATGATGGGAGAGGCGAGAGGATGGGAGAGGGTTTAGGGTGTGTGTGTATGCCCGCACCCGTGCCCGTGCCCGTTCCCATGCCCATGCCATGCCCATGCCCATGCCCATGCCCATGCCCATGCCCATGCCCATGCCCATGCCCGTGCTCGTGCCCATGCTCATGCTTATGCCCCTGCCCATGCCCGTGCCTTTACCCCATTCCCCTAATGTGCATATCCAACAGTTTCCGCAACTCCAGCTTGGCCGTGTGAGAACGCCAGAAGCAGCTTGCCCCTTCCACTGCACTCCCTCTCCTTCCGCCTCGCTGCCCCCGTCCCTCTGCTTCTTAACCCTCCCATTCCCCTCCACTCCCCTGCCTCTGTAAATTGCAGTCCCTCCACCTCCTCGGCTGTGTGAGAACGCCAGAGGCAGCTTGCGACCTGCTTGTGCGAGTGGGCGCCTTTCCACTCCACTCCCACTCCTTCTTCATGTGTCCCTCCCTCTTTCCGGCCCTCTCTGTCCCTGCCTCCCGCATTCTCCTTCTCTCTTCTGCTCCCTTCCACAGTCTCTGCACCTCCTCGGCTGTGTGAGGACGCCAGAAGCAGCATGCGATCTCCTCGTGCGAGCGGGCGCCCTTCCACTGCACTCCCACTCCTTCCGCCTCGCTGCCTCCGCCATGCCTGCAACCTTCCCAGCAACTGTCGCCGATTACTCTGCCAGTCTCGCAGCAAACCCCCCTCCAGATCCTGATCAGGTACGCTCCCAAGACCTGCTATTCAAGGCGCCCAAACCCCCTATTCAAGGCGCCCTGCCACTGCACTCCCATTCCTCTGCCAGTCTCGCAGCAAACCCCCCTCCAAACCCTGACGAGGTACGCTCCACAGTCCCTGATCAGGTACGTTCCCAAGGCCCCCTCCTCAGGGCGCCCTGCCACTCCACTCCCACTCCTTCCGCCTCGCTGCCTCCGCCATGCCTGCAGCCTTCCCAGCAACTGTCGCCGATTATTCTGCCAGTCTCGCAACAAACCCCCCGCCAGACCCTGACGAGGTACGCTCCTCATAACCCCTATGCGCCCTTTCTACCACTGCACTCCCACCTGCCACTCCACTCCCACTCCTTCCGCCTCGCTGCCTCTGCCATGCCTGCAACCTTCCCAGCAAGTGTCGCTGATTACTCTGCTGCCCTCGCAGCAACCCCCCTCCAGACCCGACGAGGTATGCTCCCTCCCTCCCTCCAAAGACTTACATCCTTCCATTATCTTGCTGCTTCCCCCCTGCTTCTCTCTGCTGCCCCCTCTGCTTCTTTCTTCTTCCATCTCACAGCAGATCCCTCCCCCCCTTCCCTTTCTCCCTCCCTTCTTTCCTCCGTGCCATTTCAGAGCATACGTGTTGATTTGACACATCTCAAAGTCTACACCATCGACTCATACGATACAGTAGAAGTGGACGATGGCTTGAGTGCAGAAACCCTACCAGACGGCCGGATCAAGGTGTGGATACACGTGGCTGATCCGAGCCGCTGGATGAGGCTCGGCGACAGGCTCGACACAGAGGCTCGGAAACGAGCCACGTCCGCGTATTTTGCTACAGGAGTCGTGCCTATGATTCCGTTCTCTCTTGCTGCGGGTCCCATGAGCCTCTCTCTTCCTCCTGCTCCTCCTCCTCCTGCTGCCGATGCTGCTGGTGCTGATGGTGCTGCTACTGGGAACTCTGCTTCTGCTGTCGTTTGCGCGGTTACAGTAGTAGTCACACTGAATCCCGATTTCAGGTATGTTGTGGTTTTGGTGGCCAAAATTATCCTCTAAAGCATTAAAAAAACTGCTTGCATGCATTTCCCATATATTTTTTTTCCCAGCTGCTAGACTTTTTTTCTCACCCCTCTTGACAACCTTTTCATCTCCCCTCTTTCCGCCCTGTGTCGCCCAGCATTGATGACGTGGACATCATGAATTCCTTCATCTGCCCGACCTACCGCCTAGCCTACGACCAGCTGCCCGAAATGCTTGCAATGGCCGGCGAACACGAACCAGAGCTTCTCCTCCTATCAGACGTCGCCGCCGGCCGGTTACGTTACCGCATGCAAAACGGGGCGGCGAATATTTCCATCCCTGAATCCGACATCAAAGTTTTTTCCGCCACGTCACACTGCCCGGAAATCTCGGTCAGCACGATCGACCAATCCGACCCGTCCCGGAGGCTCGTGTCCGAAGCTATGGTCCTCTGCGGCGAGGCTGTGGCTAGGTTCGGCGCCGAACGTGACCTGCCGCTGCCGTACCGAGGCCAAGGCCCTCCGGACCGAATGACAGATGAGGATGAGGAGGATATGCAAGCGCTCCCCGAGGGGCCGTGCAGGGCCGTGCATTTGCGATCGTTTATGAGTCGCAGTGAGATTAAATGCTCCGGGCCGATTCCGCATGCTGGGTTGGGACTGCAGGGGTATGTGCAGTTCTCATCACCCATCAGAAGATATTCCGACCTGCTGGCTCATTATCAGGTATGCAGCATAGCCTCAAGGTCTCCCCGAGGGGCCGTGTGGGCCTTGCAGAGCCGTGCATTTGCGATCGATTATGAGTCGCAGTGAGGTCAAATGCTCCGGTCCGATTCCGCATGCTGGGTTGGGACTCCAGGGGTATGTGCAGTTCTCGTCACCCATCAGAAGATATTCCGACCTGCTGGCTCATTATCAGGTACGAGGCATTGTGAGCGTGTATATGCTGCTGCTTGTGCGGACATGCACCACCAGGCATGCTTTGCTGGGCCTGCAGAGGTATGTGCAGTTCTCGTCGCCCATCAGAAGACACTCTGACCTGCTGGCACACTACCAGGTATGTGGTGTGGCATGTGAGAGTGTGTGCGAGCTTGTGCAAGCAGGTGCAAGCATGTGCAAGCAGGTGCAAGCATGTGCAAGCAGGTGCAAGCAGGTGCAAGCAGGTGCAAGCAGGTGCAAGCATGTGCAAGCAGGTGCAAGCATGTGCAAGCAGGTGCAAGCATGTGCAAGCAGGTGCAAGCATGTGCAAGCATGTGCAAGCATGTGCAAGCAGGTGCTTCCTACCACACCAGGTATGCTGGGCTGGGCCTGCAGAGGTATGTGCAGTTCTCGTCGCCCGTCCGGCAAGACCTGTCTCTGCACTCAACACTCAAAAAAAAATATCTTCAGGTGAGAGTATTTCTAGGGGATAAGTCGCCCCGTCTATCCGTTTCAGATCTCAACACAATCGTATTTTATAATTTTCTCGATCCCCCCCCGCTTCCCCTCCCCCACACCCCAAACCGCCCTGCCATTTCTACCAGGTGAAAGCCCTTCTACGGGGTGAACCACCCCCCCTGTCAGTATCAGATCTCGACACAATCGTATCTCACTGCGCCGCCCGGCAGCGCGAGGTGCGGCGGGCGGAAGGCGCGGTGGAACGCTACTGGCTGCAGGAGTACCTTTTGAGAGGAGTGCCTTCAAAAGCGGCTGCAGGGCAGGAGCACCTGCGGCGGCTGCTGACTCTCTCACACACAGACACAGACTGCTGGCTCAAACACAGACTGCTCCTTCCTGATCGCCTCCCCTATTACCTCCCTTTTTGCCTTCATGATTGCTTCCAGGTAAAAGCGCTACTAAGGGGTGAGCCCCCTCCGCTATCAGTATCAGATCTCGACACAATCGTATCTCACTGCACCGCTCGGCAGCGCGAGGTGCGGCGGGCGGAAGGGGCGGTGGAGCGCTACTGGCTGCAGGAGTACCTGCAGCGGCTGCCGGCCAATACCGTGCTGACAGCTGTCATGCTCAAGTGGCTCCGGGCTGATGGGAGTCCGCTGGCGCTGATGCTGGTGGAGGAGGTGAGATTGAGTGTGAGGGAGGATGTTTGCGGAGGAGTGTGGGGGTAAAGTATAAGGTTGAAGGAGTGAGGGCAGACGGCAGCCCGCTGGCGCTGATGCTGGTGGAGGAGGTGAGTGAAGGAAGGGGGAGGGATGTGGGCGGTGGGGGAGGGGGGAGGCTGGAGTGGTTGGGAGTATGAAGCTCCTGTGTCAGCTGTCATGTTCAAGTGGCAGAGCGCTACTGGCTGCAGGAGTACCTGCGACGGCTGCCGGCCAATACCGTGCTGACAGCTGTCATGCTCAAGTGGCTCAGAGCGGACGGCAGCCCGCTGGCGCTGATGCTGGTGGAGGAGGTGGGTTTTGGAGGGGTGAGGAGGGGTGGAGTGGGGTGGGATGCGGGTGGTAGGAGAGGGGATGGAGTAAGTGGGAAGGGTTGCTGACAGCTGTCGTGCTCAAATGGCTCAGAGCAGACGGCAGCTCTGATGCTGGTGGAGGAGGTGGGTTTTAGAAGGTTGGGAGGAGTTGTGAGGGGTATGGGTGGGTGGGTGGAGAAGTGGGAGTGGAGGCTCAAGTGGCTCAGAGCAGACTGCAGGCTGCCGGCGTTGATGCTGGTGGAGGAGGTGAGGCTGGGGGGGTTAGGAGGAGTTGGGAGGGGGTACCAGTGGGTGGGTGGAAAAGTGGGGGAGGTCAGTCAAAGGTAGAGAGAGATGGCTGAGAGCAGACGGCAGCCCTCTGGCGCTGATGATGGTGGAGGAGGTGAGAAAGGGGGAGGGGGAGAAGGGTGTGAGTGGGTGGGTGGGAGTGCCTGCTTAGGGGGAATGGTGTGATGCCTAGGTAGTTCGATTTATGGCTCCAAGTTCTGACAGCTGTCATGCTCAAGTGGCTCTGGGCGGACGGCAGCCCATTGGCACTGATGCTGGGGGAGGAGGTGAGAAAGGGAGGGGGAGAAGGGTGTGAGTGGGTGGGTGGTGGTGCGGGGAGGGGGAATGGTGTGACGAGAAGGTCAGCATCAGCATCAGCGCATCAGCATCAGCATCAGCGCATCAGCATCAGCATCAGCGCATCAGCATCAGCATCAGCGCATCAGCGCATCAGCATCAGCATCAGCATCAGCATCAGCGCATCAGCATCAGCGCATCAGCATCAGCATCAGCATCAGCGCATCAGCATCAGCATCAGCATCAGCATCAGCGCATCAGCATCAGCATCAGCATCAGCAGCATCAGCATCAGAATCAGCATCAGCATCAGCATCAGCATCAGCGCATCAGCATCAGCATCAGCGCATCAGCATCAGCATCAGCATCAGCATCAGCGCATCAGCATCAGCATCAGCATCAGCATCAGCATCAGCGCATCAGCATCAGCATCAGCATCAGCATCAGCATCAGCATCAGCATCAGCATCAGCGCATCAGCATCAGCATCAGCGCATCAGCATCAGCATCAGCGCATCAGCATCAGCATCAGCAGCATCAGCATCAGAATCAGCATCAGCATCAGCATCAGCATCAGCGCATCAGCATCAGCATCAGCATCAGCATCAGCGCATCAGCATCAGCATCAGCGCATCAGCATCAGCGCATCAGCATCAGCGCATCAGCATCAGCATCAGCATCAGCATCAGTATCAGCATCAGCATCAGCACCAGCATCAGCATCAGCATCAGCATCAGCCTGTGTGGGCGAATTAATGGGTGCGATCGTAGCGCAGATGCTGAACCTCTTCTCCTCTCTCTGCTATCTTTTCATGTGTTTCCCTCCCACAGGTGGGGATGGAGACAGTGATGAAGATGCAAAGGGACGTGCGGGTTGGTGACTCAGTCGATGTGATTATAGCAGAGGCAGATCCTGTAAGGGACAAGCTGAGGCTAGTGGAAGCTCCCCCGAGCTACAGAGAGGCTCAGATGAGGGGTTTGGCGGACGGGGGAGAGGAAGGGGAGTTGGAGGATGATGGGACCGATGGTGGTGTTGGTGATGGGGAGGGGGAGAGCAATGGGGAGGGGTTGAGCAGTGGAGAGGCATGGGAGGATGGTGCGGATGTAGATATGGAGGCTCAGCCACTCGCAAAGCTATGATGGTAATGGTGGTGATGGCGAGTAGGGAAAATGGTGATTATAACAGAGGCGGATCCTGCAAGGGACCAGCTGGGGGTGGTGGAAGCACCCCCTCAAATGACAAGTTTGGCTGGCAGCGACAATGGTGTTTGGCGAAGGTGTTGGCTTAGCAATTGTGATAGAACACTTGGGGAGAAAGAAAAATATGAGTAGGAGGCAGTTTGCTACCTGTGTATCCAACCCAGACCCGAATGTTGCATGCCGCAAAGCATGACATACAAGAAATGCGTTTTAATATTCAGAAGCTAAGAATCACTGTATCATTGAGCATCCCACAGAAACTAATAAACAACGAAAATGTCGCTGATGTCGCCACGCCTGCCAGCTCAACTTCGCGAAAGCGTCACTGACAAGTTTATGCAGTCCCTTCGCTTCGTCAGCTCTGGTCTGGTCCGGTCTGGTCAGGTCTGAGTCGGGCCTCGTTCTGTTTTGGTTCAGCGGATGCAGCGGGAAACGATGCTTGTATTGTTAAAACGGTTTGGCTTTTTACCGCTTGGAAACGCTAGTTACCAGGCTGAACGGTGATAATCGAACTAACTACCGATTAGCCGTGCGCGTGACCCTCCATTCCGCCTCTCCTATCCTTGCAACTGCAAAACCGCACTTCCAATGCAAGTTCAACATTCATTTTCCCCGTTTCCGTTGGCCGGACCGGAGATGCGTTGGCAGAAGCCCTCCACGTCAGCCTAGCTTGCACGAGGCGAGTTTTTAGACCGAGAGGAATTTAAGGACTCGGCACACGTGTCAGAATCCGGAATGGTAGAGACCTCTCCAGATGTGACCATTCCGCTCTCGCGCCGCCCAGTCGGCCGTGTGCAGCGCAAATCGTCTGTGCTCGTGCATTGCTGGAAATCGGGACGACAATGTCCAAGAATCCAAGATTATAAATTTATCCCCGTAGTCGTGACAATCCAGGTGACTTTTTGAGTCGACTCAAAGATCATTCACAACCCACCTGCTCTGAAGAGTCTATTGCGCCTGAAAACTGGACAACCGAACTGCTCTAAAGAGCTGCACCCGCATAAATAGCAACAGACGTGGTTGTTTTGTTGAACAAACGTGTTATCTGGTCCCGCGGCCGCTTTTGCTCGCTTCTGAAGCCTGCATATTTCATTTCCACTAATAACATCAACGGCTCGTCTCTCTTTCATCATTGCCATGGATCGAACTGTGCTTTGCTGGGTACTAATATGTGAGCACCCATAGACGCCCTTCACAACTGCATCCAGTTTTGAGACGTCTCAAAACCCTTCATCATTGCCATGGACCGAACTGTGCTTTGCTGGGTGCTGATATGTGAGCGCCGATTGACGCCCTTCACAACCGCATCCAGTTTTGAGACGTCTCAAAACCCTTCATCATGGAGCGAGTTGTGCTTTGCTGGGTAGTACTGTGAGCGCTGATTGACGCCCTTCACAACTGCACCCACGGCAGAATCTGCCGTTCCGAGTGGGTGATGTTTGAGTCAAACACCTTGTTATTGAAGCCCCTCTTGGGTGATGTTGTGCCTTGTGCTCGTCTTGATTTTTTTTCAACTGCAGTTGTAACGCTCTTCACGGCGGGTGCAACGTCAAGCCCCCCAACGTCACCTTCAGCATCCCTCTCAGCATTCCTCCCCGGCGGAAGGCTGCCTACCGCGTCCTCTGCTCAGGCCACTCCTTTGGTGAAAGGGAAGGTGTTCTGTAAGTGCTCCCATTCAGCCTGGCGTTCTTTTTAATTCCCCAGAATTCTCAGAAGCGCCGCATCAATGCCATCTGTTCTGAATTCCCATATGCCTAAATCAGTAAGTTCATGCAAGTTCTGTCAGCTTCCGTTTGTCAATTCCAGCAGAGAGGTGCTTTGAGACGTCTCCAAACTTGAGTTCATGCAAGTTCTGTCAGCTTCCGTTTGTCAATTCCAGCAGAGAGGTGCTTTGAGACGTCTCCAAACTTGAGTTCATGCAAGTTCTGTCAGCTTCCGTTTGTCAATTCCAGCAGAGAGGTGCTTTGAGACGTCTCCAAACTTGAGTTCATGCAAGTTCTGTCAGCTTCCGTTTGTCAATTCCAGCAGAGAGGTGCTTTGAGACGTCTCAAAACTTGAGTTCATGCAAGTTCTGTCAGCTTCCGTTTGTCAATTCCAGCAGAGAGGTGCTTTGAGACGTCTCCAAACTTGAGTTCATGCAAGTTCTGTCAGCTTCCGTTTGTCAATTCCAGCAGAGAGGTGCTTTGAGACGTCTCCAAACTTGAGTTCATGCAAGTTCTGTCAGCTTCCGTTTGTCAATTCCAGCAGAGAGGTGCTTTGAGACGTCTCCAAACTTGAGTTCATGCAAGTTCTGTCAGCTTCCGTTTGTCAATTCCAGCAGAGAGGTGCTTTGAGACGTCTCCAAACTTGAGTTCATGCAAGTTCTGTCAGCTTCCGTTTGTCAATTCCAGCAGCAAGGTGTCGGGCTGTGCTCCGTTTATCACCGTTACCACTCTGCTGGCTGTCTAGGTTCGTACTGTCTTTAAACAAGGAAAGACCCCGTTCACGCACGTCGCGTGTCAACGCACTTAGCTCCTTTCAGTTTCCTTTACCTCTGTGCCTTGGCCTGCCCTGCCCTGCCCTCTTTTCCCTTTCCAGTGCGCTATGCGGCCACTCTCACTCCCACTCGTAGCAACAGAAAGGTACTTGGCGACCAGAAACGGAAGCTGCTTGGGTATCCTTTCAGTTACCTTTACCTTTGTGCATGCCCTGCCTGTCTTCCCTTTCCATTACCTTTGTGCCTTCCCTGCCTTGCCTTCCCTTTCCAGTGCGCTATGTGGCCACGCTCACTCCCACTCGTAGCAACGGAAAGGTAGTTGGCGACCTAGGAGCAAATGGATTACCAATTTTCAGTTTCCTTTACCTCTGTGCCTTGGCCTGCCCTGCCCTGCCCTCTTTTCCCTTTCCAGTGCGCTATGTGGCCACGCTCACTCCCACTCGCAGCAACGGAAAGGTTGTTGGCGACCAAGGAGCAAATGGATTACCAATTTTCAGTTTCCTTTACCTCTGTGCCTTGGCCTGCCCTGCCCTGCCCTCTTTTCCCTTTCCAGTGTGCTATGTGGCCACGCTCACTCCCACTCGCAGCAACGGAAAGGTTGTTGGCGACCAAGGAGCAAATGGATTACCAATTTTCAGTTTCCTTTACCTCTGTGCCTTGGCCTGCCCTGCCCTGCCCTCTTTTCCCTTTCCAGTGCGCTATGTGGCCACGCTCACTCCCACTCGCAGCAACGGAAAGGTTGTTGGCGACCAAGGAGCAACTGGAAGGGTAGTTATAAAAGGAGTCAAGTAAGTTTGCAGTTTGATTTTTGAGGCGTCTCAAAACTCACTCCCACTTGTAGTAATGGAAAGGTGGTTGGTGAACCAGGAGCAACTGGAAGGGTAGTTATAAAAGGAGTCAAGTAAGTTTGCAGTTTGCTACATTGTGCTCAATGCGAGAATCAACAACATCAAGTCTGGAGGGGCTGAGCTGTTCACAAGCGACTTTCGAGAATTCTCCAAAGTGATTTGATTTCCCTCCTATTCCCCCTTGCCTCGGTGACAGGGTCAATGCAAGTGACAGCTACGTGGTGCTCAACGCGCGTGTCAACAACATCAAGTCTGGAGGGGCTGGGCCCTTCGCGGGCGTCTTTTCATACTGCCTTGCCAGCTCGTTTGACGAAGATTTTGACGGCTACAAATGGAAGAACATCACAAGCACCAGGGGTGGTCAGCTCAAGCGCTACAGCTTCACTGCCTCGTATGTTGGGGGCCCAGTGAAACAGGCCGAGGCTCGGATGTTAATTGAACTCTATACAATAGGCCCGTATTCGGTTGTGTCGCACCCGAAAAATGACTATGCACTCTGCGGGAAGATGAAAAAGGTGTGACAAATTACTGTTGGGGTTTGAGGAATGTACGGTATGGAGTACGGTAGGTACGGTATGTAGGGGTGTAGGGAGCATTGTAGTATTGTATCGTGGTCTTGCTGGGCTCCAAAATTGTATGCATGATGAGAACGAGGTCCGACCGAGAAAGGATTGCAAGTCAAGGCAGCTTCCCCCTCATCAGATATGCAACAACAGAACTTGAGTTGGGGGGAAAATTTGCTGCTGTTTACGACATTGCTCTGCTTCTCCATTGCTGTGGGAATAATACTATTTTACAGTAATATAAATTAGAGCCTTCTTTTGTTTCTTTTGTTATAAAGGAACGTCTACTAGCAGGTTACCCGTAGCGTAGAATTGTCTCCTGCATCGATTAATCACCACCACACTCACTCGGTTCACCATCAAAGCAAACCTCCTAAGAGCACTCTCTTTACAGAGACCTGTCTCAGCCCAAACGGTGTTTGCTACAGAGGTCAACACTTGAGAGCTGAACCGATCAGAGAACCAGACCAGCTACACCAATCCCCACGATTTACAGCAAAAGAAACCTATGCTCAGTGCAGCTCCATCAGACAAGCAAACCCAACGAGTGGTCTCCCTAGGGAGACCATGTGTAGGCCCTGCACCTAATGAATGGTCAGGTTGGTTGGTATGTACGTACGGTGCATTGGCATGAAACCGCACAGTATCAGAGCATGCACTGTAGCATCCTTTGCACACTGCTGCTGCCGCTGCTGCCATGCAAGGAAGCGTCATCCCCACTCCATACCTTCCCACCCTGCAGGCCGCACCCAACTCCACCAGTCATTGCCACAGCCAGTCAACCATTCACTATAGCAGCCTTTGCACTGAGCTGCCGCCGTGCAACGAAGAGTCGTCCCCTGACGTGTCACTGTAGCAGCTGTACCGTCTTCTCTCTGCATGCTGCTCCACGCGAGTGCCCCAGTCATTGCCTTGCCACAGACATTCACGGATTACAGCAGTCTTTGCACTGAGCTGCTGCCATGCAACGAAGAGTCGTCCCCTGACGTGTCACTGTAGCAGCTGTACCGTCTTCTCTCTGCATGCTGCTCCACGCGAGTGCGCCAGATGGCAATGTGGGCCGTGCACGAGCAGTTCTCTGGACCCAAAACATCTGCCACACACACATCACTAGTTAAAGGGTCTGTGCCAGTGGCAGGCGAAGTGTTGGCAGCAGCAACAGCAGCAGTAGCAGAACCGCCAGCAGCAGAACCATCAGCAGCAGTTGCAGAATCAGCAGCAGCAGTTGCAGAATCAGCAGCAGCAGCACCAGCAGCAGCAGCCCTAGCTGCACGGCACCTCTCTCTACTCGCCACAAACTCCCTCACAAACAGGTCAATCTTTTCCGGAGACACACTCGGCATCACCACAGCATGCGCCACCTTCCCCTGGCAAGCCAGCTGCCACCGCCTCACAAACCCCTCCTCTTCAGGCCTCTCAAAAACCACCGTGCTGCTGAGAGTGTTCAGCATCGCTCCAAACCCAGCCGCCCGCAGCCGCGCGTGCAGGTGCAGCGCGTTCCGCAGGCACCGCTGCACGTCTTTCCGGAATCCGCGGTAACCCTTTTTGTTGAGGGTATACCAGAGGAAGATGGGTGCGTGCCCGTTGCGCGAGCCCATGATGGTGGCGTCGCGAGAGGCTAAGTATTCGATGTCAGAGGAGAGAGCGGAAAGATAGCAGCGACGCATGATCTGCACCCCGCAGGGCATGGGACAACCGACGAATTTGTGGCCTGACACTGACACACTGCCGATAGGCTTCTTGAAAGTCACACGTGGGGCCTGGTGGGTTGTAAGGTTGGGCAGGGGGGAGAAGGATAGAGGGGACTGATGAATGATCTGCACCCCACAGAGCATGGGGCAACCAACGAACTTGTGACCCGAGACTGACACACTGCCAATAGGTTTCTAAGTCACTCGGGGGGCCTGTGGGGTGAGGAAAAGAGGGAATATAGGGGTTTGTTGATGCATACACATTGCACCCCACAGGGCATGGGGCAGCCGACGAACTTGTGGCCTGAGACTGACACGCTGCCGATAGGCTTCTTGAATGTCACATGTGTAAGGTTGCAAGGCGTGCAAGGGAAGAATGTGGGAAGGAGAGATGGGGTTGATGTATACACAATGCGCCGCACAGGGCATGGGGCAGCCGGCGAACTTGTGGCCTGAGACTGACACAGTGGCGCAACTTTCTTAACGGATGGCAGCACATTGACGTGCTGTATGGCACCACTGATAGAATAGCATACTAGCCACGGCATACCTTGTTGACGAAGGGCAGCATGAGGCCAAATAGGGCGCCGTCCAGAGGATGTAGAACTGATCGTCTGATAGGCCTGCCTCGTTCAGCTGATACACCACACCAGCAAACTGACAAGGGCAGCACACTGATGTGCTGTATGGCGCTGCTGGTCGCACACTCAGCACATAGTGACGCCCACTTACCTTCTTCACAAAGGGCAGCATGAGGCCAAAGAGGGCGCCGTCGCAGTGGATGTAGAACTGATCGTCTGACAGGCCTGCCTCGTGCAGTGTGGTGATGACCAAATCCAAATCGTCCACCGCTCCCTTCACCGTGGTGCCTGGGAGTGTGAGGTGGAGGAGAGAGGGCATGACAATGAAGAGGAACCAGTGGTCATAAGTCGAACACGCGTGCCTCGTGCAGTGTGGTGATGACCAGGTCGAGATCGTCCACTGCTCCCTTCACCGTGGTGCCTGGGAGTAGGGTTGGAGTGAGGGAGAAAGAAAGAGAAGGGGGGTGAAGGCGTGAGGGTGAAATGGGCCCCTGGGTATAGCTAGCAAGCTTGCCAGCCAAATGCTCGCATTGAAAATCGGGGCTCAGATAGCAGTCAATGTCCCCAGCCGCATGTGCGTCTGCTTGTGTTGACCCACCCAATCTCTCTCACTATTAGCTATAGGCTATACTCATTCATAATCACGCGCACTCACCAATGTTCACATTGAGGATTGCAGGTCGCCCTCGGTGCTTGGCGAGCTTGCCAGCCAGATCCCGGCAGTCAATGTCCCCAGCCGTGTGGGTCGCCACCTTCTCACACTCCATACGATACATGCGAGCTGCCTTGAACACAGAATAATGGGACTCCCTAGACGCGTACAGCACCCCGTCTGGCAGGACTTCCCTCCTGGGCGAAAAGAGGAGAAGGGAGGGAGTGAGTAGGGAAGGGAATCAGTGAGTCTTTATGTCTCTAGCCATGCGGGTGACCACCCTCACACACTCCATGCGGTGCATCCGAGCTGCCATGAGGATTGAAAAATGAGATTCCCTAGACGCGTACAGCACCCCATCTGGCAGGACCTCTTGCCCGGTTGAACAGAACAGAGACAAAGGGAGGAGAGGAAGAGGGGCAATGGGGGGAAAAGAGATGGAACGGGACGGGAGGAAGAGGGAAATTGGAGGAGAAGAGATGGAACGGGACGGGAGGAAGAGGGCCAAGAAGACAAAGAAGGATTGGAACGGATGAAGAGAGACGAGGAGGGGCAAACAGGGATGAGAGGAGAAAGAACGATGAATTGCAGTGCAGAGGGGTGCAGCGGGGTGCAAAGGGGCAAGGCGTACCCAACCAGGATGCCGTGCAGATTTCCTTCTGTGCCACAGTTGGTGATGTAGCCCCAATAGTCGCCCTCGTCTAAGTCCCACAGGCGAGCAAACCAATTGAGAACGCCCACCTGGACAAGGAGTAGATGAAAGGAATGAAGAGGGATGAAGACAGTCGATCGGGTTCAACAAAGACGTTGCAAATGCACTAGGCCTTTTGTTGCAATAACAGGAATGGGTTTCGGAGGCGCCTAGAAAGAGACAGTCTGGGACGGGGTTTGACCAGGGTTTAGCAAAGGCAGAAGGAAACACCTCGAATGGGTGAGAGTGCATGCCGTATTTGCTCTCTATAAAGGGATCTCCAAGATTATTTATGAAAAAGACTTTTGAGTCGACCCAGAAATACCTCGAATGGGCGGGAGTGCACGCCATAGTTGCTCTCGATAAAGGGATCCCCGAGATTGTTTATGGAGAAGTGCTGCAGACCCGCCAGGGCGCCATAGTCGAAATCCAGGTTGTAGGGATAGCCTGGGAGGGAGAAGAGACGAGAACAAGCATCACATGGTCACCGCTTTTTGAGCCAACTCATAAAAGAAATGAAACAAGAACTGGCGTGGGCACACACATCCCTCAACTTCCCAACAGTTTGACTCACCACGGTGATCCTAGTCGTGACCCATTTTCGTTCTGATTTTGTTCATCCAGCAGCTTCTGGTATGCTTCCACCACACTCGCGGTCTCGTCTATCCTTCCCCTCTGTCTCCTTGAAACATACCTCAAACCTCTAACCACCAACTGCGTCGGTCCCAGCTCACCAAAGTGGTACAGGGTTCTGGGTCCGTTCTTCCAGCAGCTTTTGAGGCGCCTCAAAAGTCACCAAAGTGGTACTGGGTCCGTTCTTCCAGCAGCTTCTGGTTAGCCTCCAAAATCGACGCCATGTACTTTCCCTTCTTCCTCTCTCATTGCCTTGAAAAACCCAACTCGAAACGATAAATCTCTCCCATCCTGACGTACCAAAGTGGTACTGGGTCCGTTCTTCCAGCAGCTGCTGGTAAGCCTCCAGAATCGACGCCATGTACTTGGCCTTCTCGCCCGTCTCCTTGTCGTCTCTCGCTGGCTCCGTGATCTCGAATCCCCGCAAAACCGCGTCCCGTTGCGCATGTAACCCGTCCACGTCAGCGGCGTCCACGGCACCGGATGGAGACGTCGCCGCAGCGGAACCAGCAGCAGCGCTGCCGCTACCGCGCTGATTTCGGTTGGCTGTTTTTCCCGTTTCGTAGAAGCTGTTCGCACCATCCGATTGCGAGAGCCTGGCGCTCTCGCCGGTCGCGAAACTGTTCGCGACGTCCCCGTTCGCGAACGGCCTAGGGAACTCCATGCCGGGAAACATGGAATCCAGAAGACGTGGCGGCGCTACGGTTAATGTCCCTGAAGCGGCTGCCATGGAAGATTCTGAATTGTTCTCGTTTGATTTTACAGATGTTTCTAGTTTGTCTGCTTTTCCTAGACCTTCTGGATGCTTTCTCTGGTCTGTCGTTCTTGTGTCGGCAGCTGATGCAGCAACCGCGTGTCTCGGAACAAAAGGGCTGGCGATTTCTATCCCAGTGCGCTGGAAATCCGTCAGGAGAGTGTCGACGCTAAAAGACTTCTTTAGGTGTTCCAGAGGAATATCATCGGGAAGCGAATGCTCCAACTCAGACTCGGGAAGAAGGAAGTGAGACTCCAGGTCTCCATTTTGACAGTCGCCGTGTACTGTGGGGTTGGGGGAGCAAGACACGGGAACGAATCCGCTTCCTTGCGACATCGTTTCAGGTTCTGTCGATGGATAATCGAACGAGGAGGAGGACGTTGGGATAAAATCGAGGGATGCACGGGTAAACGACGACTCCTTGAGCAAAGGCCACAAGAGATAGGGCCGACGACGAGAGGAAACGAAGAACAGAGAGCTACTTGTGAGGTGTATCTGTGTGCTGTGCTTGTGTATCTGTATCAACCCTCATCCTCGCGTGTCAAATTCACGGCGCCACGTCCTCCCCAGAGGTTTGAGGTTTGATCTACACGCCAGCTGCTATTTCGTTCGGGCAGAAGAGTTCCCTCATGGGTGACGGGGATGGATGGGCGGGGAATGTGAATTCCCGAGGTGGTGGAAGGCGGAAAATCTTCTTCATTTGAGAATCCCAAGGTTCCAATGAAGTCAACCTCGGTGATGTCGACAGGGGGATAGGGCTGAAACATTTTCTACCAATCATGGCCACGCCACGCGTTCCAAATATTCAAACACAGGCCGCTATTGGCCCTTTGTCAGGGTTCGGGTTACCAAGTTGCCTCCCAAGTGCATCATGCCCTCTGCAATCGCAGTGGCCCCTGCGAATGATTTCGCAAATCATTGCGTAACCACTCGTATGGGTGTCTCCCTACCCTACCCCATCCCCCTCCCTTTTTCTCAGGTGGAGAGTTTGTCGGGGCAGGATTGGCAGTGCTCCCATCGCAAATTTGCACGAAACCCATGAAATCGCGTATCACACCTGCAAACCACTGAACTTCATGCGAAGGTGCCATGGAGTCCATAAATTTCGGGGCTAGCGAACCTACGCATTCGTCTGTTCGCTTCATCTACAGCTGTCACTTTCACTCTGCCTACCGCCGCTAGTTCCAAACCATGGCCTTGGGGGACATGGATATCAGGTGTTGCAGAGAAATTGAAAACGGTATTAAACGGCACAGCGGGGTTACCTGTCATTTTTGCCACAGCCAGCACATTTCCACCCCACAATCTTCATTCCGACTTCCCCTCCAAATTTCACAGCCTGATTTCTTGGCTCAAGCATTTCAGGTGTGATATATTTATTCATGGTTCACTTGATTTCTCGGCGAAGCTCATGGCCCTCCTTTCTAATCCCGGCTGCCTGATCTTCCGCTTTCCGTTCTGCTATATTTCACCAGAAGCACCCCGCCATTGGTGACTGCGTCCGTTTGCTACTGCTAGTTGTGCGTGATCCGCTTTTAGGGACTGCGGTGTGACCCCGCCTCGAGTCCTTCCAATCTCGTTTGTGTTCATACATTCGTATAGCGACGGAGGCGGTAACGAAGCTTTGCAGTTGATAGCTTTTTACTCGGAACTTCCTAGTCAGAGTGTAGGGATCGATCGACATGTCAGCTCCTACACGTAATGACGAAGAGGCCGTTAACGTCGACGCCTCTCGACCAATGCAAAACAGCGAGGACTCCATACGAGAATCTCAGCCGTTCATCGATTCGCAACCAAAATCCGGGTCAAAATTAACAGCTAATTTCTCAATTCCTGCTCGGAGCTCCTTATTCACAATCCTCCTCCTCCTGCTTATCCTCTGCGTGCTTATAGTTCTTTTGATCCCGCACAGAATTGTTGATTCTGAATTGTTACCGGTCTCCACCCCCGGAAATGACGGCGAAGCTCCTGACAACGCCGGGCCTGAATTGGATCAACGTCGCAGGGAAGAATGGGAGCGGCGCCTTGACATTTTCGTGCAGCAAGGATCGAATAACCGCGACGGCGATCTATTGGCTGCGAAAAATCCGGCCCTGCTGGACCCGAAAATGCGCATTTGGCCCATGCCACGTCAGCTCACGTCGTCCAAAGGAAAAGACGGCGCATGGCCGGCAATTTTCAGCCCCTTTAGCCAGTTGACCGCCTCGTTTGGTAGAGCATCAGCGGCCGACGAGGATTTCTCTCGTGACCTCATAACGAAAGCTTACAACCGTTACCATCGCATAATTTTCGCACACGAGTATGGCGACGACTACTCCGAGATAGACGAATCGTCCACGAGTGCGACGTCGCAGCAGGGAAAGGCTGCGACCAATTCTCGTGCGACGGTGGTGGTGATAGAGAGAATCGACGTGCAAATAGCGCGGCCAGGAGAACAGGTGAGGAAGTGAGGAGGGATTCTAACGAACGGAGGCTAGGGAGAGAGTGGCATCAGGCAGTTGTGCTTATATCTTGTCCCCAAGCAAGAGGATTTTTTTTTTAAACTAAAAACACTCATTTTCATCTCTCTCAAGCAGTCATTGCATTGATAACTCATCTGTCTCCCCTTATCTCTCCCCTTCTCCTGTCAACTCTCAGCTGGATGTAGGGGTGGATGAGAGCTACACTCTCTCGCTTGGAGGGCGGGGAGAGCCAGGGACTGCTGTAATTCAGGTGTGTCGATCTATACAGCTACTGCCCCACCCTCCCCTCTGTTCTTCTCTTCAACCGACTGTCAAAACCCCAAGCCCACTCGCTCAACCTCCGCACCGCAAACCCCATCCCACTCTCCCTCTTCCCCTTCCCTCCTCCGCCCTCCTTCCCCCCCTGCTTCCTCCTCCCCATCCCTCTTATCGCAGGCAAAAACTTCCTTTGGTGCCCTCAGAGCGTTTGAGGTGAGCCGTGGGTAATTGAGGTGGGGTTATTCAGTGAGGCATGCAATGAGGCAGGAGTTTCAAGGAGATGAGTATTGGAAGAGGTAGACGATCTAAGTGAGTCATATGCCAGTGCTAAGCTAGCCACATTGTCGCCACCACCCTGCTTTCCTCGCCCTCAATCAAAGCTTTTTCTGCCTCTCCCCTCTGGCATACCTCTGTCTTCCCATTCCTCTTTCTTCCCCATACCTCTTTTCGACGTGGCAGACGCTCAGCCAGCTATGCCGCTACCACCACCCGTCTCGGCTCGTGACCATCTATGGTGTACCTCTGACAGTGGACGATGCTCCCCGTTTCCACCACCGCGGGCTGTTGATCGGTGAGTGAGTCTGCGTCTGAAATGGGGTTCCTCGTAGGGCTCTTAGGCAGCTATGCCGCTACCACCACCCATCTCGCCTGGTGACTATCTATGGTGTACCTCTGACAGTGGACGATGCTCCCTGCTGCCACCACCGCGGGTTGCTAATTGTTGTGGGTCTGCGTTTGAAATGGGGTTCCTCGTAGGACTCATACGCAACTGTATCGCTACCCTACCACTGCCGTGTGAGCTGGCCATGTATCCATCCCGCCGTGTGAGCGTCCATGGTGTGCGTTTGAGAGTGGAGTGGAAGATGCTCTCTGCTTCAATCACCTCCCTTCCGTTTTTCCCTCACTCGTCCGCCTCCTGTCACCCCTCGTTCCCTTCTCCCTCCTTCCCTCCCCCCTCCCTCTCTCACTTCTCTGCGTATGAGCAGACACGGCACGGCATTTCCTCCCCGTTGTGGAGATAGAGAGAGAGAGCTTGATGCCATGTCTTATGCCCTCCGCTTCTTTCCCTACTTGCCGTTCCTCCCCTTCCTCCCCTTCCACCCTCCACCCTTGCACTTCTCTCAACCCCCCTGCATCGGAGCAGACACGGCACGCCATTTCCTCCCCGTGGTGGAGATAGAGAGAGTGCTTGACGCCATGTCATATGCCAAACTCAACGTGCTGTGAGTGCTGGGATGGGATGGGTGGTTGGTTGCGGGGATTGGTGGGTGGGTGGGTGCATGGGTGGGATTCATGGGTGAATGGGTGCCAAGATGGGTGGGATGTATGCATGCATGCCTGTCTCTCAATCGCCCACAATCTTCACCTCTTCACCTAACTCCACTGCTCTCTAGCTCTCCACATAAGGACCTCTTTCGTTCTTCCTCCTCCACTCAAGTCTACACCATGCTTCACATGCACCTTGAATTCTCACATTTACACCTCTCCATTCCTCTCCACCTCTCTCCACCCCTCTCCAGCCACTGGCACCTGGTGGACGCTCAGTCCTTCCCCATTGAGACGCCCTCCTTCCCTCGCCTCTGGGAGGGAGCTTTTTCCCAGGCGGAGCGATACACACTCAGGGACGCCAAACACATCGTCAGGTAAATGCTCAGGTGCTTTTGTTGAGAAGATCTGAAACGCCCTCCTTCCCTCGCCTCTGGGAGGGTGCCTTTTCCCAGGCGGAGCGATACACACTCAGGGACGCCAAACACATCGTCAGGTGAATACTCAGGTGCTATTTCAGGTGATTGTGAATTCTTTCCCTCTCCCCTGGGAGGGAGTTCCTCCCATGCGGAACGATGCACACTCTGCACGTGCTTTTGTGCACCAATATCCACGCCTCTTCACCCCTTTGCACTGCTCTGCACCCCTCTCCACCCACCAGATATGCAGCAGCACGTGGAATCGTAGTCATCCCTGAGATTGACACTCCCGCCCATGCCACGTCATGGTGAGTGAGACAAGGGCACTGATGGTGCAACCCATAGTAATGGTAATGGTAGTGGTAATAGTACTGGTAATGGTAGTGGCAGTGGTAGTACTAGTGGTAATGGTAATGGTAATGGTAGTGGTAGTGGTAATGGTAATGGTAATGATAGTGGTAATGATATTGGTAACGGTAATAGTAATGGTAATGGTAATGGTAATGGTAATGATAATGGTAGTGGTAATGGTAATAATAATGGTACTGATAATGATAATAGTAATGATATTGGTAATGGTAATGGTAATGGTAATAGTATTGGTAGTAGTAGTAATGGTAATGGTAATGGTAATGGTAATGGTAGTGATAATGGTAATGGAAATGGTAATATAAATGGTTATGGTAATGGTAATAGTAATGGTAATGGTAATGGTAATGGCAATGGTAATGGTAATGGTAATGGTAATGGTAATGGTAATTGTAATAATAGTGGTAATGGTAGTAGAAATAGTAATAGTAATGGTAATGGTAATGCTAGTCATAATGGTATTGGTAGACGTTTCAGCTTTTCACTCACTCCCGCCCGCCCATGCCACCTGAAACGTCTCACCAAGTTACCGTCTGGCCGTGCTGAACTCGATATATAGAAAAGTCCACTGAGATACCGACTGCGCCGTGCCATCCGTCCTTCCAAGGGAGTTGGCCTCGTGCTCTACCCCAGCCCAGCCCCACATGCAAGAAGCCCCAGCATGTGTGTGTACAGCCTTCCGGCCTCCTGTACATGCCTCACTTCCTGTCCCTCACTCCCTACCCTACCTCTCCCATCCGTCCGTCCAGGGGAGTTGGCCTCGTGCTTTACCCCAGCCCAGCCCCACATGCAAGAAGCCCCAGCGTGTGTGTGTACAGCCTTCTGGCCTCCTGTACATGCCCTCACTTCCTGTCCCTCACTCCCTACCCTACTCCTCCCATCCGCCCTTTCAGGGGAGTGGGCTACCCCGTGCTCTACCCCAGCCCCACCTGCAAGGAGCCTCTGGATATCCCTGCATGTGTCTGAATACAAGCCTCACACCACCTCTGGTTGCCCCATCATTGCCCCCATCCCATCCTATCCAGGGGAGTGGGCTACTTCGTGCTCTACCCCAGCCCCACCTGCAAGGAGCCTCTGGATATGTTTGCATGCGGCGCGACACATGACTCACACCGCCTCTGCTTACACTCTCTCTCTCTAACCCATCCATGCCCGCAGGGGAGTGGGCTACCCCGTGCTCTACCCCAGCCCCACCTGCAAGGAGCCTCTGGATGTCTCTAACGAGTTCACTTTTGAATTGATCAAGGGCGTGCTCACAGGTACGCCACAGGAAACTTGCATGCTTCCTCTGGATGTCTCTAACAAGTTCACATTCGAGCTGATCAAGGGCGTGCTCACAGGTACGCTAGGTTGCATTTTCCTTTGAGTATAATCAAGAGTCATCCCAGGCCCAGCCCCACATGCAAGGAGCCTCTGGATGTGTCAGATGAGTTCACATTTGAGTTGATCAAAGCCATGCTCACAGGTATGCCTAAAAAACAAGCATGCTTATCATTTGTTTCCCCTTCATTCCCCTTCACCCCCTTTCATTCGACTTTACTCTCTTTCACTCCCCGCTCTTTCTGCTCTTTCTTCCCCGCACCCTCCTCCCTCCTTCAATCTCTCTTGCAGACCTGCGGTCAGTGTTCACAGGCAGCAGAATACACATAGGAGGGGATGAAGTGAAGGAAGGTAGGGGGCAGGGAGGGAGAGGAGATGAGTGGGAAGGGGGAACGAAGGAGAATGAAGGGGAGCAAGCACCCCCCCTCCTCCGCCCCCCTTTTTTTTTTCCTGGTTTTCTCTTCCCTTCTCCTGTCCAGCACGAATTTGTTTCTGGCGCCTCAAAATGAAGCACGCGCCGTCTATCACCTTTGTTCACCAATTCTCTCTTCTTCACCTCCCTGACCCTGTCTGTACCTGCCTTTCTACCATCAGACTGCCTTTGAGGCGCCTCAAACGCCGTCTATCACCTTTGTTCACCAATTCTCTCTTCTTCACCTCCCTGACCCTGTACCTGCCTCCCTTCCATCAGAATGCTGGACACAGTCTCAACGGATTTCCCAATGGTAAGCCCTGTGCTGCTTGGATCGTTTTGAAATGGCTATGATGTACCATTGCTCTCATTGATACCGCACGCTACGTCTCCTGACCTGCTGTCATATCGAATTTTTCAACAGTTGCCATCTTTTAATATCTGTATTTTTTCGCACCATATCTCATGCATGCCCTCCCCATAGGATGAACCAGCAGGGAATGCAGCCAAGGGATGCCGTCCGCTACTTCTCTTGAGACGTCTCAGAAGACTTTTGCTTGAAGCATTTCAGAAGTCTGTTCTTTCTGAGCCGTCTCTCACGCATGCCCTCCATAGGATGAATCAGCAGGGAATGCAGCCAAGGGATGCCGTCCGCTACTTCTCCAACCGAGTCCGATCCATTGCCTTGGAGCTCGGATGGGAGAAGACTATAGTATGGTATGTGTTTGTAGTAATTATGGACTTGTCTCATCTCATCCTAAACCCTGTGGTATGTGTGCTGTGGGAGTGAACAATTGATTGTTGTTTCTCACAACCGTCTCTGGTAACCGTATCACTCAGTCCTGCTCGTTCCCCTCTTCCTCCCTCTGCCTCTAGGAAGGAACCCTATCAGAGTTATCTTTTGCTTCATTAAGTTTTACCTCTTTGCTTGTCCATGTGTCCCTCCCTCCTATCTCCCTGCAGGTATTGATTCTTGTTGTTTCTCTCCTCTTTTCTTTGCTTCTTCCCCATCTGCATCCAGGGAGGAATCCTATCAGGGATTTCAGAGGACCTTAACAAGACAATCACCATTCTTCAAAGCTTTCAAACCTTTTTTCGGAGTGATCTTCTCAATCACCTTTCTGCTTGCTCACCTCTCTATATGTGCAGGGAGGAATCCTACCAGGGATTCGCTGAAGACCTCAACAAGACGACCACCATTCTTCAAAACTGGTATTATTAGAAAAAGAAAAAAGAAAAAGAGAAAGAAAAGGAAAATCTTAAATGACCATGTTCTCCCCTTTTCTTTGTCTGACATGCTGCCCTTGCTTCTGACCTGGCTCTGAAAGAATAAATATTTTCTTCGCTTGTTTCAGGTTGAACGTTGACATTCTTGGAAGCATGGCTCGTGACAACTTTCAAATCATCTACAGCAATGTGTATGGCGGATGGTACCTCGACTCTATGGACGTGGTGAGTGGTTTATAACGAAATGCTCTGCAACGAGGACAGCACTTGAGGCGTGGATGGTTTGTAGAGGATGGCTCTATATTGAAGCACCTTTTCCCCTCTCCCTCTTTCTCTCATCCCCCATGCAGGATTGGAACAGAGTGTACAGTACAGACCCGACACAACACCTTGTAGTGGATGGCTCTGTACCGGAGCATTTATTGGAAGGGGGCGAGGTGTGCATGTGGGGCGAGAAGGTGGATTCATCTGACTTCATGCCCACCATCTGGCCTCGAGCTGCCGCTGCTGCGGGTGAGTGAGATGCTAAAATGGTTGAGTATACAGCTCTAGTACTTCATTAGGAGATACCCATTCTACTGGAAGGGGGCGAGGTGTGCATGTGGGGCGAGAAGGTCGACTCGTCTGACTTCATGCCGACCATCTGGCCTCGAGCTGCCGCTGCTGCTGGTGAGATGAGGGAACGGTTGGGGGGCAGTTGTGCTGCTTCTTTACGAGATTCACTAATCTATATTCTGAAGAAGAGAGATGTGCATGTTTTTTGAGAATTCTCAAAAAGCATACGCTTAATCTATATTCTCAAGAATAGAGAAGTGCATGTGGCGAGAGAAAGTTGGGCTCATCTGACTTCATGCCAACCATCTGGCTGCGAGCCTCTGTTCTCCTTACAATTCTCACTAACCAACCGGCCTCGCCTGCTGCTTGTCTGTCTCTCTTCTATCAGAGCGATTATGGAGTACCAAGGCATATGCTGATGCCGCACTCGCAAGCGGAGAGGCTGAGAAATGCACGTGTTCCGGCTGCCTTCCCCCACCCACTTACACTCTCTGCGCATCAACCCTTGCTTCTCTTTCCCTCAGAACGCCTCTGGAGCACCAAGGCATATGCCGATGCGGCACTCGCAAGCGGAGAGGCTGAGAAACGATTGATTTTTTTCCTGTGCCTCGCCCCACCCACTTAGACTCTCTGCACGTCCTCCCATTGCTTTTCATCTGTTCCGCTCAGAACGCCTCTGGAGCACCAAGACATATGCCGATGCGGCTCTAGCAAGTGGAGAAGCAGAGCAACGACTTCACGTGTTCCGGTGCTTGCTGAACAGAAGGGGGGTTGAGGCTGCGCCTGTGAGCAATGCAGTTCCCCGTTCCAATCCCGAAAACCCCGGGGGCTGCCTAGATCAATAGAAAAGGTATATGATCAAAGATTAAGGCACTGTGGGCACATCACCTGAGTTTCGGTTCCTTCTGAACCGACGGGGAGTTGAGCCTGCTCCTGTGGGTGATGCTGTTCCCCATACCGCTCCCAAGTATCTTGGGAGGGAGCTGTCTATAAAGAGAAAATAGAAACTGTGTCACAGCTGTTCAGTGATTGATTGCATACAGTATGTATGGGCAAACACAGAACAGAATGCAGGGGGTGATGATGCCTTTCCCCGTACTATGGTATTCTTGAGGATCCTGAGCAGTCCCCAGGTCCCCAGAGGAGATTCATGAGCAGTACAAATGCACTGGAGCTACTGGTAGTCCCAAGAAATCACATTTTTGTACTTGGGCATACCTTCAAGACATGGATGGAGTTCATTTCGATCCCGTTAGCAATCTCATGTCGGAATTACAAATGAATATACGGTACTTTTGGCATTTCAGTAAGCTGCCTCATTGGTACCACAGCTATAATCTGATACATTTAGCAATTATATCTACACTTTTAGTGTTCCGTACATTGTGTCAGAGCTAGGAGACCGGACTCCTTGCTCTGCAACCATTGACTGGCTTTCTCCATTTTTTTCAAAGGCTTGCGGGAACTGGATATACTATGAACATTTCCCTTGAAAATTAACTAACGAATAAAACGTCTCAAAATAATAAATCGTTGTCAGCAGAACGAAGGGATGTCATGTCACGAGCTGAACGCCACGACTGCCAGCAGCTCCCTCAGCCTCGCATCCTTGCACACCTGGTTCAGGCGCTCCCGCGTTACCAGCCTGATACAGAAGAATACGAAGGAGGCGGGCGGGAAGGGGGGCGGAGGAAGAGGGAGAGAGGGTGATGAGGAAAAGGCCACCACTGCCAGCAGCTCCCTCAGCCTCGCATCCCTGCACACCTGGTTCAGCCGCTCCCGGGTTACCAGCCTGGCACAGGTGAGAGTGGAAGAGAGTGGGAGGGGTAAGGGGATGTAGAGGGGTTTGCTGATGGGCTGAAGGCCACCACTGCCAGCAGCTCCCTCAGCTTCTTGTCATTGCACACCTGGTTCAGCCGCTCCCGGGTTACCAGCCTGATAACTAGAAGTTGTGGGAGGGGTTGGGGGGTAATGAGGGGTCGAAGACCACCACTGCCAGCAGCTCCCTCAGCCTCGCGTCCTTGCACACCTGGTTCAGCCAGCCTGGTATGGGGGAGCGGGAAGGGGGGTGTGGGGAGATGGGAAGTTGGATTGATGGGCTGAAGACCACCACTGCCAGCAGCTCCCTCAGCCTCGCGTCCTTGCACACCTGGTTCAGGAGTTCCCTGGTTACCAGCCTGACCAACACCTTGCCCCAACACTCCGATTTGACCAAATTTCAAAGGCAGTTCACACATCATACGCACTGACTCACTTGTTTCGCGAGACCTTGCCCCAATACTCTGACTTGACTCGCGCTGAGACCATTCTACTCCCTCACCTGCATCAATCACTGCAAGGCACTCACTTGTTTCGAGACACCTTCCCCCAATACTCTGACTTCACCATCGCTCGCTTCAGCTGGCAAGGTGGTTCTGTCGTGATTGCATACACACCTTGCTTCCAAGGCAGTTCACTCCAGCTCACTTCATACAGACTGACTCACTTGTTTCGAGACACCTTCCCCCAATACTCTGACTTCACCATCGCTCGCTTCAGCTGGCAAGGTGGTTCTGTCGTGATTGCATACACACCTTGCTTCCAAGGCAGTTCACTTCAGCTCACTTCATACAGACTGACTCACTTGTTTCGAGACACCTTCCCCCAATACTCTGACTTCACCATCGCTCGCTTCAGCTGCGGCCACAGGGGCAGGCACTCCGTGCATGCTGGTGTTGGGGTAAATATGACAGGGACAAGGTTCTTGCCTGAAAATTTGAACGAAACAGATAATTGAGAGTTGAATAACAACAACGCAATACACCAAATCCGCATGTTCAGTTGGAGTGATAGACGCCGATAACATGAGCAGCAAAATTAACATAAACCTCTATTATTTTTACTTACATGCGACAGTGATGTCCCAGAGTTCCTTAATTTCCGTCTCGCTACTGAACGATCCGCTATTCTGCAAGAATTAAACAAAGCGGTAGGAACAGCGCGCACGACAAACACAAGTGGGGCAATAGATGACTAAAAAACACAACGATGACTAAAAAACACAACGATGACCATGCCATGGCAACAACTGCAACTCATAGAGCACCTGGCACAGAACAGGGCCAGCACACCTTCAAGAGAAAACTCAAGCCAATCACAGTTCACAATAACCCACCCGGTGGCCGAACTCGAGAAACTTGACAATGACGCCGAACGAGTTGGGCAGCCTCTTGTAGGTCGCCAAGTCTAACAGCCTCTGCACCCAATACCCAGCATATCTCACCCACCGCACAACCCACCCACCCACCCACCCACCCACCCGGTGGCCGAACTCGAGAAATTTGACAATAACCCCGAACGAGTTGGGGAGCTTCTTGTAGGTCGCCAGGTCGAGCCGCTTCTTCACCACATCTTCACATGACAGCTCCAGAATCGACGCGTTGACACACGCTGCCAGAGCCAGGGTCTTGTACGTTGTTCGGGGGTCATTGCCTGGTGTGGGGGGCACGCATAACATAAGAGGTGGAAGTTAGCAGCGACTTCACCACGTCCTCAAAGGATAGCTCGAGGATTGATGCGTTCACACACGCCGCAAGGGCTAGTGTCTTGTACGTTGTTCGCGGGTCGTTACCTGGTAAGGAGGGCACGCATAGACGGAGGGTGACATTGTAGGAGGGTATTCTCCACGTCCTCACAGACAACTTTTGAGGCAATTACAGAAGTCGTCCTTAAAAGTCTTCTCCACGCCCTCACAGGAGAGCGAGGGGATGGCTCCACTTGTACGGCACGGCACGGCATGGCATGCATGGCATGCAAGGCTACACGCTATGTAAGCTAGCCACCTTTCACCCTCACTGCTCACCTTTGACGCTGCTCCATCCGGCCATGGCTGGCAGCAGCGGCACAAAGTCGTGCGGATCCAATGGTACTCGCATTTGCTTCCGCTGCAGAGAGGAGAAGGGAAGAGGGGGAGGGAAGGGGTGCGGTGGCGGAAGACAGATACAGAAAGAGAGTGGATGCAAAGTAAATCTAAGGGCACTCGCATCTGCTTCCGCTGCAAGGGGAGGAGGGAGGAGGAGAAGCAGATAAGATGGATGGGGAGACGCGGAAAGAGAGTGGATGCAAAAGCATGCTTGTACAACGGCACTCGCATGTGCTGCTGCTGCAGAGGGGAGAAGGGAAGAGGAGAGGGAGATAAGATGGATGAGGAGACACAGAAAGAGAGTGGATGCATAGTCATGACAGTGCTTTGAATCGAACCACATGCACCACGTACGCATGCAAAGATGTTGAGGATGACGTCAGCAGCCTGCATGAGGCTGGCCTGCCCCTCGGGTCCCGACCGCAGCTGGTGGTGCATGTTGGTGCGCGCTGCTTCCACCACGTAGTCTATGAGCTGATGGGGGTGGGGGTAACATGTAAGGATGACAGTGAGGGGAGGGCACACAAGGTAGTGATCGAGTCACAGCTGGTGGTGCATGTTGGTGCGCGCTGTTTCCACCACGTAGTCTATGAGCTGATGGGGGCAAACATGTGGGGGAGAAGGTATGTGTGCATGTGATGCGACAGATGTACAAACACCGGCCACAGAAGGGGGTGAAGGGTAAAGGAACAAGGGAAGAGACATAAGGCGGGTAGACACTTCTTCTAAAAATCTAGAAAAGCCTTGAGAAGTAAGCTGCTTCAGTAAGCCTACTGCACGCACGCAGCTCACTGAGCCATGTCCGGATCTCAAAGAGCAGGTGGGTAGATAGAGCGTCCAAGTTCAAGTGTACAAACACCCCCCCTGCGTCCAACTTCTTTATTTTATTCTTTTTTATTCTACTCACGTGGATGTGGCCTCCTCTCTTGACCAATGACGTGCAGCCACGTGGCTCACTGGTGATGTGCACCAGCGCGGGCAGCATGTAGCGCACGGCTAGGAGTGGCCTGGGGTGAGGGAGGGAGTGCAAGGCGGTATAGAGCGGTATGGAGAGGCACAGAGTGGTAATGAGAGGTAAGGAGTGGTATCATAGGCATTGGTGATGTGCATCAGCGCAGGCAGCATGTAGCGCACAGCTAGGAGTGGCCTGGAGGTGTGGGAAGGAGTAAAAAGAAGGTATGGTATGGAGAGATAAGGAAAAGTACGGAGTGGTGTCACTGGCACAGGGGATTGACAACAGCGCAGACAGCAGGTATCGTACATGGCATGGTCTGGGGATGCGGGAGAGAGAGAAAGGAGAGGTACAGAGTGGTAGGGAAGGGATTGGTAAGGACAGGCAAGGAATGGTGAGGAATAAACCCACCCCTCTCTCTCCCTTTGCTTCCATCCAAAACCCTTCCAAACCCCCCTCCCAGACCCCCTTTCAAGCCTCTTTCTCCCCTTTTCCATGCTCACCTTTCCTCCTGCGCCCTAGTGATTCCCAGCAGGAATCCCAGCAGCCGTCCAACCCTCTTGCGGTGTGCCAAGCGCGCAGCAGCCAGGCAAGCCCCCACCACACGCACACACGCCACCACTGCCTCTCCACACCACCACAGCATAGCAGCAGCAAGTCTATACAACCAGTGCCCAGTCCCCTGTCCCATGCTCACCTTTCCTCCTGCGCGCCTGTGACTCCCAGCAGGAACCCCAGCAGCCGTCCAACCCTCTTCCTGTGTGCCAAGCGCGCAGCAGCCAGGCAAGCCCCCACCACACGCACACACGCCACCACCGCCCTGTTCTCTCCAAAGCAACAACTCTCCCCTGTCCCGTGCTCACCTTTCCTCTTGAGCCCCTGTCACTCCCAGCAGGAACCCCAGCAGCCGTCCAACCCTCTTCCTGTGAGCTAAAGGTGCAGCAGCCAGGCAAGCCCCCACCACGCGCACACACGCCACCACTGCCTCCCCACACCACAACTCCCGCTGCTGCGCCAACTGCAGAAACACCAGCACATCCTTCAATGCTCCGTCCACCAGCTTTGCACATAGCCTCACGAAAAGCTGTCTTTCAGATTGGCGACCTAGAGTCTGCCCATTGCTCTGAACAAGAAGCCTTTCAGCTGGTATAGCAGCTTCCCCTTCAGCCTTTTCTCCAGCTTTCGTTAGTAGACCCGCCACCGCTTCCACCAATCCGAAGCACCGGTCTAGCTGCTGCTGTGCCTGCCGAACCTCATCTGGAGGTCCGGTGTCCTCCGCACCTCCCGCGTCCTCCTCCATAGCTGCAAACTCTTCTATACTGAGCTCCCCCAAACCACCCTCCCCTCCCTCTCCCCCTCCTCCCCCTCCCCCTCCTCCTGCTTCCCCATCCGCGTTAGTAGGAGGCTCCCATATTGCATCCTTCATATCTTTCACTACAGACCTCCAATCCTCATTCGTGGGAACTATAGAGTTCATTCTATCCAATCCTCCCCCTCCTCCTCCCCCTAACCCTCCCCCTAACCCTCCACCTCCCCCTAGCCCCCCACTCCTCATAAGCCCACCTCCCCCGACCTAGCTAAGCCTCCCCCTTTGCCCAATCCCCCAGACCTAGCCAACCCTCCTCCTAACGCTCCTGCACCCCCTCCTACTCCTCCTCCTCCCCCCAAACCTGCGTTCCCAGGCCCAAATCGGTCCAGATTTCCCCCTAGGGCAGCCCAAGCAGCATCTGCATTGAGTTTGCTCTGATCCGCCCAGGTGCTGCTACTCAGCTTACTCTGCTTACTCAGATTGCTCTGCATGCTGTGCTTGTTCTGCATGCTATGCTCGCCTTTACTTGTGCTATGCAGCTTGCTTATGTCTGTGCTGCTGCTCGTGCTGATAGTGCTGCTTCTGCTGCCAGTGCTATCCTCTGTATCCATTGCAGACGTGTGGTTACCAGCACTGAGAGTGTGGTTACCAGCACTGAGAGTGTGGTTACCATTGAGCATGTGGTTACCACTCTCAGTGTTACTCTCTGCAATCTCTGCTGCTTCTCGGTTACAGTCTTCCCCATTCCTTTCCCGCATGCTGTTCTGCTCTAAGCTGTCATCTGGTTGATGCGGGTCAGTGTTGGTTTCAGTAATCGGGTCAGAACCGGGGTCAGTTCTGGGGTCAGTTCCGGGGTCAGTGTTGGGGTCAGTGTCGGGTTCAGCTTCAATTGTAAGACGAGCTAGGGTGTCGAGAAGGCCAGGAATCTCCTGCTTGGCTGCTCGCATGAGAGCCAGCACAAAACTGGGTGGGTTGAGGGTGGATGGGGCGGGGGTGGCGTGGGGGAGGGGGGCCAGGAGGGTATGGAAGGGGCAGTGTTAAAAAGACAAGGGATTTCTTCCATCAAATAACACTGCCCCTTCCATAACAGTGTTATTACAAACAAACAAACAAACAAGCAAACAGAAACAAGGGTTGTTGATTGTAGCTGTAAGCTCCCGGTCAAAGAGGAACCAAGGTAAGGTAAGATAGACTCAGAAGGTCTTACCCATTGTCCAGTAAGCTTTCAGGAGCAAAGGGCTTACCCATAGTCCAATAAACTTTCTGGAGAAGACAGGATAGGGGAATCCTCAGGTGTATTTTCAGGAGGCCCAGCGAGCCAGGAATCGCCAAGAATGCTGGTAACCACATGCGCCAGGTGAAAAGCGTCTTGTTGACTCTCAGGGGATGCTGGCAGACGGAAAGCAGCCGGGAGGGGAGGGGTAGGCAAGAGTGTCTTTGACTGACAAGGTCCTTCAGATCAGAAACGTAAAGTGACGTGTAGCGAGGGTGTTTTTGAGACGTCTCAAAAACACTTTGACTGCCAAGACCCTTCAGATCAGAAACGTAAAGTGATCTGCAGGCAGGTGACTTTTATGGTAACATCATTTTTGAGGCGCCTCAAAAGTGGGGAGGGGTAGGAGAGAGTGTCTTTGACTGCCAAGACCCTTCAGATCAGAAACGTAAAGTGATCTGCAGCAGGCAGGTGACTTTCATGGTAACATCATCAATCGAAGAAGCGAAACCACAGAAAATGAAAACGAGGCCTTTGCAGTTGAACTCGCATGGAGAATGTACCGTGAGGTTCCTCAGCAGCACATTGAGCCGCAAGGAAGAAAGGGGAAAGAGGGCAACACTAACCAGTGGTAGACAAGAGGATGATCTGAATGCCCCTCCGAAGGCCTGCCGCCCACGCTCGACCGGCAACAATTGGCTCTAGGCTCTTAAAGCCCTGCACCACCGGATTCTCGGACTGGTCTGGCTCTATGGCGTTTTGAGTAGAGCTAGAGAGTGCAGGGCGCAGGCCTGAGTCGCGTTGTTGAGTTGGTGAGAGCAGGGCGAGCAGCAGGGTGACTATTTTGTGCCTGCTGCTGCTGTCTTGGCTTGCTGCTAATTGCCTTGCTAGGGCTGGGACCTGAGAGGCAGAAGGTAGTGAAATATTGAGACAAGGGGCAGAGGCAACACGAAAGCTTAGCACTTGTTTGCGTGAGAAACATGGATAAGAAGAGTTTGGTCAAGTGGAGAGAAGTGGTGGCGGGAGAAGGGGGCAACATGAAAGTAAGACGGGGCAGAGGCAACACGAAAGCTCAGCACTTGTTCGCGTGAGAAACAAGTATAAGAAGAGTTTGGTCACGTGGAGACAAAAAGTGGTGACGGAGGGGGAAATGGGGAAGGGGAACTGAAATGGGGACAGGGGGAAGGAGGGAGGACACTCACAGCAGCAGCAAGCGAGTCTCCCTGATGGGAGATATCGAGGGGAGACGCAGCATTGACCAGAACGCATAGCAGGTCCGTTGCAAGAGATGCACAGGAAGGGTCTGTGGGTAGAGAAGGGAAAGGGAGGGTTAAGAGAGGAGGTGTTGAAAACAGGAGGGTGGGGAGGGGCGGGGCGGGGGAGGGTAGGGGAGGGAGGGGAGGAAAAAAGGAGATTGGACTGAAAGATAGATCCCATAGAAGGAGTGTGTATGAATGAAACATGTGTGAAGGGGGGAAGGGTGAACAAGATTCTATGGTGACAACACAACACGAGCTGCCAGCACGCGCAGCCAACACAAGATGCTGTGCTCCATGCATGCCCTCGTGCCTTCATGCCCCTACCTCATGCCTTCATGCCCTCATGCCCTTTCCTGAGCCTTTATTCATAACCACATCCGCATCCTCGCACCCATCCATCCATGCATGTGCCATGGCACGATCGATACCTATGATGTGAGCAAGAGAGCGCGCAACCACCCCAAGCACGCCTTGCTCCCTGCACGCCCGCATGCCCGCTTCTGATCCCCGCGCCACAGCCAGCACACACAAACACCCATCTTGCCTCGTGCCTGGCCACTTATGTTGGTACCTGTTTTGAGTCGACTCAAAACACGCCAGCATGCCCGCCTCTGATCTCCATGCCACAACCAGCACACACAGACACCCGTCTGGCCTCGTGCCTGGCCACTTATGCTGGTGGTACCTGAGATGGCAGAAAGGGAGCTAGCAACCACCCCAAGCACGCCTTGCTCCCTGCATGCCCGCATGCCCGCTTCTGATCCCCGCGCCACAGCCAGCACACAGAGACACGCGTCCTGGACGAGAGACACTGTCCGCCTGAAGGTTGTGGGAAGCGAGGGAGGAGGGGAAGGAGCAGAATGTGTACGTATGTGTACAACACATATGCACACAGGAGAGGTATGCAAGCACACACTGGCAGGCGTCCTGGACGAGAGACACTGTCCGCCTGGTGGTTGTGGGAAGCGAGGGAGGAGATGCAGGGGCGCAGCAGGACAGGCAGACAGGCAGACAGGCAGACAGGCAGACAGGCAGACAGGCCGGGTGTCAAAGCTTTCTCCCAACAACCCACCCTCACCCTTCCCCCTCCCTTCGCTTCCCCTCTCCTGGATCTGCACCCCGTCCCCTCTAATGAAAGAGAGAATGCAGGGCTGAGAAATCACGTGTATGCATCCACTCACCCGTGAAGATGATTTGGCTGAGAGGGTCCAGCAGCGGATCACAGGAGGCAGGCAGACCAGATGCCCAACAACCCACCCCGCCCTTACGCCCCACCCCACCACCCGCCCTCGCTCCCATCCCACTCACACCCCATCTCCGCAAACTGATGGCCAGGTGTTGCCTGAGCGTTCATTCACTCACCCGTGAAGAATGATTTGGCTGAGAGGGTCCAGCAGGCGCAGAACAGGAGGCAGGCAGGCCAGTTCCGGTTGCTGAGTAACCATCACGAGTACAGGCAGCTGCCGCTGCTGCTGCTGCTGCTGTTGCTGCGGCTGCTGCTGCTGCTCCTGCTGCTCCTGCTGCTGACGCTGATGTTGGTAAATTTTGCGTTGGATCAAGCCTGTCCCCCATCACTGATTCTTCCAGCAGCAATCGAACGAAGTGGAAGGGCAGGGCATCAAACACCTCATGCACCACGTCAGCATCCCCATCTGCCACGTGGCGTGCTGCAGCCACCAGGCCTGCCGCCATGTCAGCTTCGTCTATGCTCATCAGCAGCTGCAGACATGCGTCAAGAGACGTGGAAGCTTCGTGTGAAGGGGGTGCTGCTGAGGCAGCAAGAGGAGCATCTGTTGCATCAAGAGTGGCAGCAGCAGGAGAGGGGACAGCAGCAACGGCGGTAGCAGACGGAGAGCAGCAGCAGCAGCAGCAGCAGAATCTGCACCTCCCTGCTCTGTTGCACTCTCCTCTTCCATCATCCCTTCGTCCCCAGCCATATCTTCCCCAACTGAAACCTCCATGCTCACAGTAACAAGCCCTCCGCCCTCCTCTATCCCCTCCTCCTTCCCCCTCGTCTCCTCAACCACCTCAGTCTCCTCCTCCCTCTTCCTCTCCTCCTCAGCCAACTCTGTCAGCTTCGGCCCCTCCATCTCCTCCTCTCCCTTACTCTCCTCCTCAGCCTTCCTCACCCCTTCCTCCTGCTCCTCCTCCTCCTCCTCCTCCTCCTCCTTCTCCTCCTCCCCATCCTTCCTCCCCTTTTCATCCTGCTCCTCTTCCTCCCTCCCCTCTTCCTCCCTCCGCTCTTCCTCCCTCCCCTCTTCCTCCTGCTCCTCTTCCTCCTGCGCCTCTGCCTCCACAACAGCAGCGGCCGAGGCAGCAACAGCCGAAGCAGCAGCAGCAGCAGCAGCAGGCGCTGGGATTGAAGCTGCAGGTGTAACACCCAGCGGGATCACATCAGCAACAGGAGCACGGGCAGAAGGAGCAGGAGCAGCAGCAGCAGCAGCAGGAGCAGCAGCAACGGAAGCAGCAGGAGCAGCAGCAGACACGTGCAGCAGCCCTTCAGCTGCAGAAGGTCCTGGCACCGAAGACCCATCAGCAGCATCCATGCAATCATTGCTGCCTGTAGGAACACTGGCAGTGCTGACTGTAGGAACACTGGCAGCGCTGACTGTAGGAACACTGGCAGCGCTGACTGTAGGAACACTGGCAGCGCTGACTGTAGGCCCTTCATTCATTGTCAGTTCCAGCATGCCATGCTCCACAGCCTTGGCCTCGGCAAGAGGAACAGCAGCAGGAGGAGCAACAGGAGGAGGAACGGCAGCAAGAGGAGCAGCAGGAGGAGGAGGAGCAGCAGCAAGAGGAACAGCAGGAGAAGCAGGCGCGGCGGCGGCAGCAGCAGCAGCACCTGCAGCAAACGCCGGTGATTCTTTCTCCTCCTCCGCAACTGAGGGATTCTCCCCGTCTTGGACTAAATTGCTGACAGAAATCGCACTTGTAACCTCGTCTTCAGTGTTATCCTGCTGTGAAACGTCAGGTTCTTGAGACCTTGGTCCTTCGTGCGTTGGCCCTTCGTCCACCTCCATTCGCGAAGGGCCTGCGAACGTCTGGCGAACTTCGTCATCGTCCAGAACCTTCACGTTCGTCTTCTTGAGCGGGTTTCCCAGCAGCAGGTCCGACGACTGCGACTGCGACGGCGACGTGTGCGACTGCGATGGCGACGTGTGCGACTGGGATGGCGACGCGTGCGACATGTCCGGCGACGGGTCTGCCGCAGCAGAAGCGCCACTGTCAACAGCCTTACTGACATTGCCAGGGACCGCTTCAAGTTCCTTCTCACTTCCCGACTCCTTTCCAAAGGACGATCTTGATCCACTTTTGCGTCTGGCTGTCGACGGTCCAGATACAGACTTCCCGCCAGTCCCGCTGCTCGATTCCGAGCCTAGAGACGAGGAATGGGACGAGGGTCGGTCTCGGCGCGATCGGGATTGCAGCAGGCCGAGAAAACCCCGCTTCCCGGGGGAGCGGCTTGCTTGCTGTAGCTCCGGCGTACCTGGTTCGGCTAGAGGTTCGGTTGAAGGTCTGGTAGTAGGTTTGGATGGTTTGAGGTCCGGAGACAGGTGGTGCTTGATCGTCTCTTTCAGAGAACGAGTGTGCGTGAAAGTGTGACCGTTGGGAGCGTGACTATTGTGGGAGTGATACTTGGCGCTGTGACTGAACGGCCACATCCCTCGCAGGAACGTGCCATAAGCGGGTTTGCTGCGCGGTGAAGGTCGGTCGTCTGCGGTAACTCTAGCATCGACTCCATCGGCTTCGAACTCTTGAGTCTTAAGTTCCGCCATTTTCAGCGCACGCATGCGATTACAATTGTGCCGGACAACAAGCGAGTGGCAGGAGAAATTTACGAAACGCGAAAAGAGGCGCGTGTCTACTAATGCCCGCAAAGTTGTAAGGACTGACGATTCAGTACTCGGATCAGCCAGAACCAAATTATGTCATTGCCTGCAGCACACGCCTTCCTGCCTAAATATTATCAAGGAAGACAGAAATAATAGCTGAAAGGGACAATGGTACGCGTGACCGCTGCTAGTAAGAAACGTTATCTACTAGCACTCTAATTGCTCACGTGCTAATCTGTTAAAATACTAGACTCTGCTGGGCAATCTTCCCTAATGTCAGCAGTCATATACGTAAGACTGCCATAGAAATTAGGGCGCAAATGGGAGACCCACCTTCACAGCTCAAGTTAGTAAACTAGAAGAGGGGACTGTTGAAATAGAAGTTGGCTGAAATTATGAGAGGGTGCGTTGCGGTCCAAGACGGTGATAACCAGTACCCGTTTCGTACCGCCTGGAAACCTACTGAACCGTACTCGGTTACCAATGGACAACCACGCCAGTGTCCTTGAAACATCGAGTGCAGCAGAAGACGGACGGCCACTCATTTATTTCGATCGACCCAATCCAACCACCCATAAATCCGTCCGCGGCATCAGCGGGGGTGGGTGACAGACATCAGAGTAAAGAGGGAGCAGGGGCAGTCGCTCTCCAGGCGAAGGCTCGATTCTAACGAGCCGCTTGTTACACGTAATATGACTGGATGGCGACCTTGTAAGTGCTTGTACCTGCGAACTCAATCCTCTCGTGAGCGTTACCCATTCATGCGCGAAATAAGTTGTTGACGACTGTGGGTGGGCTTGCTGCATCCCGACTGTTGCTCTGCCAGCCTTGCATCTGGGGAACAGGCTCGCAAAGCTTGGCATTCAACAACCCCCTCTCAACAAGAGATTGATCCTCATTAATGAGTATCAGCACATAGTCATTACTCAAATATGCTTATGACTTGTTACAGGTCTCAACATATACCTTTGATCAACTTGCAACCTCACCTTAAGGATTTATATATCTATTAATGCTGTGGCCAGGCCTGCACCAACAGGCGTTTCTATCTACACATTGGCTAAGAAGTCTAATGTCAAGGCTTTTACAAGGGAAGCACCATAGGAAGCTTATGTTTCTTATGGTGCTGCCTGCCACTATATATAACATCATAATGCGTGGAACAGTGGGCCGGTAGAGAAATCAGAGTATCACTATATTTAGTGCCCCAAGGGTATGGGTGAGGACGAAGTGATGGCTTCTAGTCGCAGTTAAGGAAACTGGGCTCCATGAATTGGTAGACAACGTTCCTCTTTGCATCTCGCGTCACGTTGCGCACCCCACACTCCGAATCGTCCTCGAAAAGAAGGCAACTGCCTCGACACGATGGAACCTTGTAACTGCACATACATCAGCAAGGTGCACGAACAATGGCATTACCATATCACGACATGCAGAATTCTTCCCCAATAAAAAAACAAAAATGATAAAAGCATGTGGCTGTCCATAGCTTTTGTGCAAAGAAGAAAATAGCTGCCTCGGCATAAGGAATGTACAGTGGCTCTTACTTGTTCTCAACGAAGGCCCAAAGGTTGCAGTAGTTCGGATACTGCTTCGTCCGTGACTGGGCCCTCTGGCACATCTGCTGACATTTGAATCGCCTCAAAACTCACCTTGTCAAGCACCTCATAACCCACCTGTTCTCAACGAAGGCCCAAAGGTTGCAGTAGTTGGGGTACTGCTTCGTCTGTGACTGCGCCCTCTGGCACATCTGCTGACACCTCTTTGCCGAAGCAGCCTTTGTGGCATTGTTCAGGTTAGAGAGCTCGCCTGTAAGATCCCGAATCTGCTTGGGACAGGAGAGAGAGGCAAGGGGGGGAATGGGGTGAGGCTCTTGGCCCTCTGGCATATCTGCTGACACCGCTTGGCCGAAGCAGCTTTTGTGGCGTTGTTGAGGTTAGAGAGCTCGCCTGTAAGCTCTTGAATCTGCTTGTGGGAGGGAAAGAGAGACAAGGGGTGGAGAAGGGGCGTAGAGGGATATATCTGAGGTTCTTACACTGGCAGAAGCCCTGCCTGGGCGCGCTGGCACATCTGCTGGCACCGCTTGACCGAAGCAGCTTGTTTAACGTTGTTGAGGTTGGAGAGCTCGCCTGTAAGCTCCTGAAACTGCTTGGGCGAAGGCAAAAACGCAGAGGAGGGTGACGGGAGGTAGAGGGAGATATATGAGGTCCGTACACTGGCAGAGCACTTGGACACTCAAGCAGGCGCCGAATATTGCAGGCAGTGCTCCTTGTCTCTCATGACTTTGTGAGGTGCCTTAGAAGTCACACTCTGGCAGAGCTCTTGGACGGACTCAAGCATGCATTAAATCTTGCAAGCAGTGCTCCTTGTCTCTCACTCTCACACACCCGAATGTCCCATCCACCTTACTCCATCTGCCACACACCTTATCCACGGTGCCACACACGGTGCAGCGCCCCTTCTGGCCTGAAAAGAACCCCTCAGCGCAGGCAACGCACTTGGACTCGATCGTATACCCCTGCTTGCACACAGTGCTCCTCGTCCCTCCCTCTCACATACACACTCCCCCACTGCCTGCAAATGGAAGTCCCATAAATTTGAAACCCTAACCCGAAACCCTAAACCCTGAACCACCCTGCCACCCACCTTATCCCCCCTGCCACACACCTTATCCACGGTGCCACACACGGTGCAGCGCCCCTTCTGGCCTGAAAAGAACCCCTCAGAGCAGGCAACGCACTTGGACTCGATCGTATACCCCTGCTTGCACACAGTGCTCCTCGTCCCTCCCTCTCACATACACACTCCCCCACTGCCTGCAAATGGAAGTCCCATAAATTTGAAACCCTAACCCGAAACCCTAAACCCTGAACCACCCTGCCACCCACCTTATCCCCCCTGCCACACACCTTATCCACGGTGCCACACACGGTGCAGCGCCCCTTCTGGCCTGAAAAGAACCCCTCAGCGCAGGCAACGCACTTGGACTCGATCGTATACCCCTGCTTGCACACAGTGCAGGCTTTGGCCGGGTCGAACTGGTTCTGGCACTTGCAGTAGGGGTTGAAATCTGAGTCCAGTGCGCAGGTGCCGCGGCCATTGCAATCGCCAGAGCAGCCCGTGCAGCCACTGGGAAGGGGAGCGAAAGGGGGCGGAGTGAGGGATAGATAGAGGGCATGAGGTGCGTGGTGGCTTTAGCAGGGTGGGGTATTGCACCATCCCTGATTCCAGGGCTCAATGGACCTTCACATTCAAGCGCAGAAGCCTCACCTGCAGCTCTGGACTTCCTTCAAGCGCAGGCGTTTTCCTTATTCACAAAAGTCACCGTTCCGTCACTCGTGCCGGCGTTCATGTCGTTCGACACCGGGTACACCGGCGCCCTGTTGCGAAGCAAAACATGACTCTCATGTTCTGTTCTCACGTTTCACATGCAAGCCTTACCTGCAGCTCTGGACTTCCTTCAAAGCGGGCGTCTTCCTTATTCTCCTGGGCCCTGTGCTCCCACATGCGGTAACCGTGCCGTCAGTCGTCCCAGCGTTCATGTCATTCGAGACAGGGTACACCGGAGCCCTGTTGCGGCGGAAGTTGGAGTTGCAGAACTGCACCACTGCGTGCTCTGCTTGCATGGAGATGGCACCGCCGCGGCCGTTCATCACTGTGTTGGCGGAGAAGCGCGTACCGATGGATGTGAGGTAGGGGCTCGTGGTGAGAATGGCACCGCCGCCACGAACTGAGGGGAACGAGGGTGGGGAGGGAGGGGAGAAAGGGGGAGAGCAGTTACCACTGTGTTGGCGGAGAAGCGAGTCCCGATGGACGTGAGGTAGGGGCTTGTGGTGAAGATGGCACCGCCGCCACGAACTGTGAGGGAACGAGGTGGGGTGGGGGGAGCGGGGGAAGGAGGGGGGAGAGGGGGGAGGAAGCGGTAGGAGTGGTGAGAACACCGGCGCCCTGTTGCGGCGGGAGTTGGAGTTGCAGAATTGCACCACCGCGTGTTTCGCTTGCATGGAGATTGCTCCGCCGCCGTTTATGACTGTGTTGGCGGAGAAGCGCGTACCGATGGAAGTGAGAAAGGGGCTCGTGGTGAGAATGGCACCACCGCCACGAACTGAGGGGAACGGTGGGGCCGGAGAGAGGGGGAGAAAGTGGGGAAGTGTTGTTGGGAAAGGAGTTTTGAGGCTCCTAAGAATCGCCGCGGCACCTCACCACTGCGTTAGCCGATGGATGTGAGGTAGGGGCTTGTGGTGAGAATGGCACCGTCGCCACGAGCTGAGGGGGACGGGGGTGAGGAGGAGGGGGAAGGGGGGAAATGAGGATGTAGCGAAGGAGGGACGAGAGAACGCGGTTTAGGGTCCGAGATGAACCTATGTGGGTGTTACTTCTGACAATTCTCAAAATCAACACCAAGATGAACGTGTGTGTGTGGTTGCCAACAGTGTTGTGCACACATATTGACTAAATTATGCTGCACCACAAAGCTGATCAAAAGGCGAGCATGTGTAACACGTGTGTTACCAGCAGATAAAAGAGCAAGTGGAATTACCAGCAGTGTTCTGGGAGAATGTCGACTGGCGCAGGTAAAGCTCACTCCCTTCGGAATAAATCGCGCCGCCACTGCCTCCCGCCGAGTTTTTACTAAAAGTGCACTTAGCAATCTTCACATCGGGCCCTCCCGTTGGGTCCCTCCCCACGTTGATAACGCCACCATTGCCGGCGGCAGTGTTGTTGAAAAAGAAGCACGTGGTGAGCTGCAGGGGGGATCCAGCAGTGGGTGAGCTGTCCCGAGAGCTGCAGAGAGGGAGTGAGGGGGTAGTGAGGAAGGCGGAGCAGGACAGTGAGAAGAGAGAAGCTCATGAGGCTGCTCGCTCACTGCCCTGTCCTGTTCCCAGGGAGGTGCTGTTGAGAAAGACGCACATAGTGAACTGCAGCGACGAGCCCATGTGCACGCCGTTGAGCGCGTGCTGCACCACCAGGTTCTCCGCTGGTGCTCCTCTCCGCATATGCTGGAAGAAGGTAACTCGGCGCGCAGGGGGCGAGCCAGCAGTGGGTGGGCGCGCCGTTTTTGAGGCGCTTGCAGAAACTGTTCAAGGCTGTTTCAAGGTGCTGTACTTACTTAAAGACAGCCCCTCCAGTGGAGGTCTTGTCCGCGATGTTGTGCTGAAACGTGACTCGGCGCGCAGCGAACTGGCACGCGCCCACGTGCACGCCGTTGAGCGCGTGCTGCACCACCAGGTTCTCCAGCACGATGCCGCACGCGAAGTTACCCGAGAATATGCGAAACTTCTTGTTACCGTCGACGATGCAACTGAGGGGACCGGGAGAGGGAGAGAAGGACAGCGAGGCGCGTGACGGGAGGGGAAACGGATCGCTTGAGGGGAAGGGTCGTGAGGGAATGGGAATAAACGAGGCGAGAGAGATGAGGAGGTCATGAGCAAGTAAGTACCATTCTTGAATGGTAACGTCCAGGTATGTCGAAGATTTGCACACACTCGACATAGTAGGAACAATCACAGGAGGGTAGACGACACACGTTGACTCACACTCCTCAGATATCACCTTGGCGTAACAGTAAGGACCATTCAAGGAGCATATCACTACTCACACTTTATTATTTCTGTTGTCACAGGCGCCTTTCAGAATGATTCCGGAAGCGAAACCGAGGGCAGGGAACCCACTGCGCGGAGCAAGTGTGGCGAAAGGAGGGGACACGAACGAGGAGAACGAGGTGAGGCTACCACGTAACAGGGCTTAGGCGAGAACCGGCTGCTGGAACTCTCTTTGAGGTACTACTGAGGTGCTATTGGGATATTTCAAGGTACAATGGCGCATTGGCGTGGTGATTATTGCATTGAAGGAGGAACTGTAACATTGAAATGTATGCTTGCCTGGTAAGCGTGATGTCACTCTTGAGCGTCACCTCCACCATGGCTGTCTGTCAAACAAGGAGAATGCGGGTATCGGTGTAAGATGGATTATAATGACTCAATGTATGAATGTAAGATGAAAATGCCAATCAGAACGGAATACCGAACGGCGTCGTGCCATGAAAACAATACCGGCCTCAAAAGTCTGGCACTGATGTTGAAATGTCAGGCTTGAAAAAACAGCACTGAATGCTGAAGGTTATTACTTTGGAGTTTGCTTGAGCTATTGCGCTCCGAATGGTCGACTCCGCGTTGCTGCCGCTCGCGGTGACGAAGATAGTCGGCTTCTTGATGAAATTTGACGAGCCCTGCGACAGGATCCGTCGCTGACCCTGTCGCTCATTTCCTGCACATGTTCGCACGCGATTCAGATTCTTTGTATTTGATATACTCGAGGATCTTAGCTACAGAAACCATTTAAGAAGCACTAGAAAGAATGAAACAACCTTACATCGTTTTCCGGCATACCGTTTGAACCATTTCTGGTGGACACCTTACCTAGAGAGTGGAGTGCTTCAGCTTCGAGTGAGCCGACAATCAGAAGAACTGCTACGAACACAAACAATGCGACTCCCCGCATTTTATTCATGTGTCTTGGTGACAATAGGAGCAGCTTTAGTCGTGTTAAAGCAGCGCTTCCGCCAAAAGTGCTAGTACTTCCGCGTCGAGTGCTAGTTTGACGCAGCGTCTCGCAGCAGAAAAGCGCTTCAGACAAGCGAAGCGCGCAACAGACCGCAGAGTGTCTGTAACCAGCGAGGTGCAGTGAGGTGCAGCAGGGTGCTGATAAGCCAGCTGAGAATGAGGAGATGGGGCAACTTCTAAAAGGTCAGATAGAATTAAGAACTATGAGGTCTTCGCTGAACCGTTTAAATAGTTTAAGTTCTCGTGGGACGAGATACGTCAACTCTCAGCTCATAGCATTATTGGCACCCTTATCTCCTCCCCGTGGTTTGAACGTAATTATTGTTGTGCTGTGAAACACGGCGTTATTAGTTGTCCAGCCAGGTACTAGGCAGCTGCTGCTATGTACCTCCAAACACTTCCCAGTACAATAATTGCTGGTAGGTTTTTGGGTTGCGTTGCGTAGCTAGCCGCAACCCCGTACAATTGCTTCCAGATGTCGAACTTCTTTTTCGTTTCCCACCGCTTAGGACCATTGTGCACCAGACTGAACCCTGAGATGCACTTTCTTAGGGATTGGTTTCACCGTCACCTTGATGGGCCAGGTGTGGTCTGGTGCAGCACCGCGCTCGCAGCGCGCTCGCAGCGCGCCGCCATTGCCTGAGGATTACGGCGATTTCGGGAAATGCTGGGACTTGACGGAGCCGCTCCAGGAGTAAACTCGGGCAGCTGTAAGCCACGACGAAGTGACGGCGGAAGTTCTTCAAGAAAGTATTTCTCTGACCTGACGCAGGCATTTTCTGCTAGTTTATGAGCGGTTAAAAATGACTCCCACGCGATATTAGGCAACACCACGTGCTCTCGCTCACCAAACATCTGCTGAAGGGCAGGGCAGCTCACAATCCAAAAACATACTTTCACATCCCCGGAATCGTGGGCGCCCGTCTCTGGGCAGCTGCGGCTCAGGTGCAACTATTTTCGTGCGGTGGTGAAAATGACATGTAACACAATCTGTTAGCCAACCCCCCTTATATTATTGTCAGGAAAGAATGTTGCTGGTCCATGCTCTCAATCAATATTCTTGCATGATATTCCTCCACGCTTTTCTGCATCTCTTCACTCATGCCCTGGCCCTGCTCATGGGTGGATCAACCCTTCTGGCTTCGAATGCAGAGATTATGGAGACAGATTAGAGTCTTGAAGCCCAGGACAGGACTGGTACATCTGCTTTACCGTAACTAATTCAAGGGTCCATAAACATTATTCATGCGCCTCATTACAGCAAATGTTGAGGCACCTACAACACAACATAACCTTAAAGCCGAGGGCGAGCAGGAACTAAAGCTGCTGCAATTGAGACACAATAGGCGGAGGAACGCGGGTCATGGCAGCTTTAAAGAGCGGCTCCCCATGCACCGCCACACACGCCTGCGGATTCTCCTTCAGGAACGGACCCACCGCTACCTGATGCACGGGGTCTATAATGTGCCTTGGGAGCAGATTCCGAGGCACCAAAAGATCGCCACACATAGAGGAGACAGCTACAGCTGCTGCAACAGAGACACGATGGGAGGGGGAACGCGGGCCATGGCGGCTTGAAAGAGCTGCTCTCCATGCAGCGCCACACACGCCTGCAGCTTCTCCTTGAGGAGACTCTGGCAAGAGAGAGAGAACCAGTGCCCCGGGCAACTACAGCTGCTGCAATTGCGACACTATGGGAGGGGGAACGCGGGCCATGGCGGCTTGAAAGAGCTGCTCCCCATGCACCGCCACACACGCCTGCAGCTTCTCCTTGAGGAGACTCTGGCAAGAGAGAGAACCAGTGCCCCGGATACCAAGGGTCTTAAAGCCCGACGCAAATCTACAGCTGCTGCAATTGCGACACTATGGGAGGGGGAACGCGGGCCATGGCGGCTTGAAAGAGCTGCTCCCCATGCACCGCCACACACGCCTGCAGCTTCTCCTTGAGGAGACTCTGGCAAGAGAGAGAACCAGTGCCCCAGATACCAAGGGTCTTAAAGCCCGACGCAAATCTACAGCTGCTGCAATTGCGACACTATGGGAGGGGGAACGCGGGCCATGGCGGCTTGAAAGAGCTGCTCCCCATGCACCGCCACACACGCCTGCAGCTTCTCCTTGAGGAGACTCTGGCAAGAGAGAGAACCAGTGCCCCGGATACCAAGGGTCTTAAAGCCCGACGCAAATCTACAGCTGCTGCAATTGCGACAAAATGGGCGGAGGCACACGGGCCATGGCGGCTTGAAAGAGCTGCTCCCCATGCACCGCCACACACGCCTGCAGCTTCTCCTTGAGGAACGGCCCTACTGCTACCCGGTGCACGGGGTCTATGGATGCTACTTGGCGCCGCCTCAGCGCCTCGCATTCCACTGGTGCTCCTTCTCCTCCCTGAATTGAATCTGATACCGATGCGTAGTCGTACCTGCGTAGAGGGGGTTAAGGAGGAGAAGGGGGGTGGTTGGCAGCTGAAGTTACCCGGTGCACGGGGTCTAATGGATGCTACTTGGCGCCGCCTCAGTGCTTCGCATTCCACTGGTGCTCCCTTGCCTCCTTGTATGGAGTCGGATACTGATGCATCGTCGTAGCTGCAGGGGGCGGGCGTGGGGAGAGGGAGAGGGAGAGGGAGAGGGTCTATGTGCACGGGGTCTTTGTGCACGGGGTCTTTGTGGACGGGGTCTATGTGCACGGGGTCTATGTGCACGGGGTCTATGTGCACGGGGTCTATGTGCACGGGGTCTATGTGCACGGGGTCTATGTGCACGGGGTCTATGTGCACGGGGTCTATGTGCACGGGGTCTATGTGCACGGGGTCTATGTGCACGGGGTCTATGTGCACGGGGTCTTTGTGCACGGGGTCTATGTGCACGGGGTCTGTGCACGGGGTCTTTGTGCACGGGGTCTATGTGCACGGGGTCTTTGTGCACGGGGTCTATGTGCACGGGGTCTATGTGCACGGGGTCTATGTGCACGGGGTCTATGTGCACGGGGTCTATGTGCACGGGGTCTTTGTGCACGGGGTCTATGTGCACGGGGTCTATGTGCACGGGGTCTATGTGCACGGGGTCTATGTGCACGGGGTCTATGTGCACGGGGTCTTTGTGCACGGGGTCTTTGTGCACGGGGTCTATGTGCACGGGGTCTATGTGCACGGGGTCTATGTGCACGGGGTCTATGTGCACGGGGTCTATGTGCACGGGGTCTTTGTGCACGGGGTCTTTGTGCACGGGGTCTTTGTGCACGGGGTCTATGTGCACGGGGTCTTTGTGCACGGGGTCTATGTGCACGGGGTCTATGTGCACGGGGTCTATGTGCACGGGGTCTTTGTGCACGGGGTCTATGTGCACGGGGTCTATGTGCACGGGGTCTATGTGCACGGGGTCTATGTGCACGGGGTCTATGTGCACGGGGTCTTTGTGCACGGGGTCTTTGTGCACGGGGTCTATGTGCACGGGGTCTATGTGCACGGGGTCTATGTGCACGGGGTCTATGTGCACGGGGTCTATGTGCACGGGGTCTATGTGCACGGGGTCTATGTGCACGGGGTCTTTGTGCACGGGGTCTTTGTGCACGGGGTCTTTGTGCACGGGGTCTTTGTGCACGGGGTCTTTGTGCACGGGGTCTATGTGCACGGGGTCTATGTGCACGGGGTCTATGTGCACGGGGTCTTTGTGCACGGGGTCTTTGTGCACGGGGTCTTTGTGCACGGGGTCTTTGTGCACGGCACGGGGTCTATGTGCACGGGGTCTTTGTGCACGGCTTCTTTGTGCACGGGGTCTTTGTGCACGGGGTCTTTGTGCACGGGGTCTATGTGCACGGGGTCTTTGTGCACGGGGTCTATGTGCACGGGGTCTATGTGCACGGGGTCTTTGTGCACGGGGTCTTTGTGCACGGGGTCTATGTGCACGGGGTCTTTGTGCACGGGGTCTTTGTGCACGGGGTCTATGTGCACGGGGTCTTTGTGCACGGGGTCTTTGTGCACGGGGTTTTTGTGCACGGGGTCTTTGTGCACGGCACGGGGTCTTTGTGCACGGGGTCTTTGTGCACGGGGTCTTTGTGCACGGGGTCTATGTGCACGGGGTCTTTGTGCACGGGGTCTTTGTGCACGGGGTCTATGTGCACGGGGTCTTTGTGCACGGGGTCTTTGTGCACGGGGTTTTTGTGCACGGGGTCTATGTGCACGGGGTCTTTGTGCACGGGGTCTTTGTGCACGGGGTCTTTGTGCACGGGGTCTTTGTGCACGGGGTCTTTGTGCACGGGGTCTTTGTGCACGGGGTCTATGTGCACGGGGTCTTTGTGCACGGGGTCTATGTGCACGGGGTCTATGTGCGCGGGGTCTATGTGCACGGGGTCTATGTGCACGGGGTCTTTGTGCACGGGGTCTATGTGCACGGGGTCTTTGTGCACGGGGTCTATGTGCACGGGGTCTTTGTGCACGGGGTCTATGTGCACGGGGTCTTTGTGCACGGGGTCTTTGTGCACGGGGTCTTTGTGCACGGGGTCTTTGTGCACGGGGTCTATGTGCACGGGGTCTTTGTGCACGGGGTCTTTGTGCACGGGGTCTTTGTGCACGGGGTCTTTGTGCACGGGGTCTTTGTGCACGGGGTCTTTGTGCACGGCACGGGGTCTATGGATGCTACTTGGCGCCGCCTCAATGCCTCGCACTCCACGGGCGCTCCCTTGCCTCCTTGAATGGAATCTGAAACTGAAGTGGAGTGGAGTGGAGTGGCGGATAGGAACGGGGAACAGAATATGCCATCTGGTGAAAACGGGTCGACACACGGGCCCATATCGCCCCACCCAATGCTACCTGGTGGAGATACCTGGCAGCAGCGGCATGTTGTTGGGGTTGCCCTCTCCCAGTGAGTGCCAGTGTAAACGGAGGGAATGAGGTCTCACCTTTCCAACTAGGGCCATCATGGGAAGCAAGAAAAGCAGCAGTGGGCAGGAGCAACTCACCCAACAGTGGAGATGTCTGGCAGCAGTGGCGTGTTGTCGGGGTTGTCTTCACCCAGAGAGCCCGTGCAGACAAAGAGAATAAGGTCAAGCTTCCTAACCATACAGCCGCAGCAGCAGGAGGGAGGAGGCGAGTGGCGACTCACCCAACAGTGGAGATGTCCGGCAGCAGTGGCGTGTTGTCAGGGTTGTCGTCTCCAAGAGAGCCCGTGCAGACCGAGAGGATGAGGTCGAGTCTCTCCAGTATCTGCGGCTCAGGCATCGTCAACAAAACTGCCAGGGCCAGAGTGGAGAGTTTCCGCTTCGCTGGAACTGAGACAGAGTCGACCTGTGGGGGAGGAAGGGGGTGGGGAAGGGAGGAAAATAAAGAGCCAGTGCACACGGAGAGAAGAGAGCATTGTGAGCAGCACTGCCAGGGCCAGAGAGGAGAGTTCCCGTTTCGCTGGTACTGAGACAGAGTCGACCTGTGGAAGGGAGGGTGGGAGGGAGGGGGGGGAGACGACGAGCAGTGGTGAATAGAGTTAGAGAGAACGAGGTCGAGCCTCTCGAGTATCTGCGGTCCCGGCATCATCAGCAGCACTAACAGGGCCAGATAAGAGAGCTTCCGTTTCGCCAGGACCGAGACAGAGTCGACCTGTGGGGGAGGGGGAGGGAAGGAGGGCGGTGAAGGGAAAGAAAGAATAAGAGTGCAGACCGAGAGAATGAGGTCAAGCCTCTCTAGTATATGTGGCTCTGGCATCGTCAACAGCACTGCCAGGGCCAGACATGAGAGCTTCCGTTTTGCCGGAACAGAGATAGAGTCGACCTGTGAGGGAAGGAGGGAAAGAGATGAAGGGAAAGAAAGAGTTACGGAGAGAATGAGGACGAGCTCTCGAGTATCGGTGGCTCTGGCATCGTCAACAGCACTGCCAGGGCCAGACATGAGAGCTTCCGTTTCGCTGGGACCGAGACAGAGTCGACCTGAAGGAGGGGTGAGGGAGGGAGGTGAAGGGAAAGAAAGAATAAGAGTGCAGAAAATGAGGGCGAGCCTCTCTAGTATCTGTGGCTCTGGCATTGTCAGCAGCACTGCTAGGGCCAGACAAGAGAGCTTTCGCTTTGCTGGGACTGAGACAGAGTCGACCTGAGCGTGGGGAGGTGGAAGGGAGGGAGGGGAGACGACGAGCGGTGGTGGATAGACAGTGAGAATGAGGTAGAGTCTTTTGAGACGTCTCAAAAGGAGACGACGAGCGGTGGTGGATAGACAGTGAGAATGAGGTAGAGTCTTTTGAGACGTCTCAAAAGGAGACGACGAGCGGTGGTGGATAGACAGTGAGAATGAGGTAGAGTCTTTTGAGACGTCTCAAAAGGAGATGACGAGCGGTGGTGGATAGACAGTGAGAATGAAGTAGAGTCTCTCTAGTATCTGTGGTTCCGGCATTGTGAGGAGCACCGCTAGAGCCAGACAAGAGAGCTTTCGTTTCGCCGGGACTGAGACTGAGTCGACCTGTGGGGGGGGGGAGGAAGGCGAGAGGGCAGCAGGGAGGGACGCTGAACAGGAGGTCGAGACATTCTAGGATCTGTGGCTCTGGCACTGTCAGCAGCACTGCGAGAAACAAGGAGGAGAGTAGGAGAGATGAGAGAGGAGAGTAAAGGAGAGAGGGAGAGGGTGAGAGAGGAGAGGTTTGATAGTGTTCTAAAAAAAGGGGTGGAAAAAGGAGTTGCTAGAGAGAAACAGAGAGAGGACAGCAGTAGTAGGGCCCACCTTATCCAACCATGCATCAAGGAATAAGGCAAGAGGGGGCGCGTTGCCCTTTGCTGCTGATTGCTGTTGCAGGAGCAGGCGGGTGGAGTTGGCAGATATGAACTGGGCGAAGTAGGAGCTGTTCTGAAGGACCACACGCGCGAGCACTGTAGCGCATGTGCCTCTAACGAGGTCGGAGTATTCCGTTGGACCGACGATTATCAGCAGCAGTTTCTGCAGGGAGGGGTGAAGGACGAGAGGAGGAATGGTTCGGCCAAGAAATCAAGGAGTGATGAATAAGGTGGGAAGAGACAGGAGACAAGCAGCTCACAATGCAAGAGTGTGATCAATAGAGGGAAGCACACACTTGCCTTCTCCCTCAAAACAACAATCAAAACAGCAAAAAAGCAGACTTGATTCTGGCGCAAGTTAAAGTCGTAGAAAGAGGAGCACAACAGGGAAGGGGTTGTTCATTCACTGAGTGCATTGAGGCTACTGTGGCTGTCCATTGACTGAAGCTACTGACTGTTACCTGAAGGACTGACTCGAGGGCAGGAGGGGCTTCTGCTGGGTAGCACTGCAGAAAGAAACACGGGGCGATGAGAAAGATACCCTTCTGAGGGTCACTGAAAACTGTTTCGTGGCTAGCGCATCGGCTAGGTAGCACTGCCGAAAGGTAGCCATGTTTTGGCCAGGCTAGGTACCACTGCCGAAAGAAGCACTTGGATGAAAAGAAACTCTTTCAAATGCAACTAAAGAAACGCAAAACGGTCTGCTGAAAAATGAAGCCGACAGTTTTGATCACAGCTGGCTGCACAAGTCCCTCTCTCTCACCTGGATAATCAGATCGACAAGTCCTGCCACCAGCAGCATCGCCTTCTCCTTCACGTTCCCCACCACCGCATCTATCATTGACACCAGGCTCCCAGCGTGCTGTTCTGAGTTGAGATACTTGAGGTACCTCAAGTTCTCACCTGGATAATCAGATCGACAAGTCCTGCCACCAGCAGCATCGCTTTCTCCTTCACATTCCCCACCACCGCATCTATCATTGACACCAGGCTCCCAGCGTGCTGTTCTGAGTTGAGATACTTGAGGTACCTCAAGTTCTCACCTGGATAATCAGATCGACAAGTCCTGCCACCAGCAGCATCGCTTTCTCCTTCACATTCCCCACCACTGCATCTATCATTGACACCAGGCTCCCAGCGTGCTGCTCTGAGTTGAGGTACTTGAGGTGCCTCAAGTTCTCACCTGGATAATCAGATCGACAAGTCCTGCCACCAGCAGCATCGCCTTCTCCTTCACGTTCCCCACCACCGCATCTATCATTGACACGAGGCTCCCCGCATGCTGCTGCAGGAACGCTGGCCCGCCCACCAGCACATAGCTCTCCATGATTGCTGTTGCCACCTGGCAGTTTGAATGGATAGTCAGGGTAGAGTAGTGTACCACATTAGAAACATGCAGTAGACACACAAGCGTGCTGCTGCAGGAACGCTGGCCCGCCCACCAGCACATAGCTCTCCATGATTGCTGTTGCCACCTGGCAGTTTGAATGGACAGTCAGGGTAGAGTAGTGTACCACATTAGAAACATGCAGTAGACACACAAGCGTGCTGCTGCAGGAATGCTGGCCCTCCCACCAGCACATAGCTCTCCATGATTGCTGTTGCCACCTGGCAGTTTGAATGGACAGTCAGGGTAGAGTAGTGTACCACATTAGAAACATGCAGTAGACACACAAGCGTGCTGCTGCAGGAATGCCGGCCCGCCCACCAGCACATAGCTCTCCATGATTGCTGTGGCTACCTGAGGAGGGGATGTAGCAGGGCAGCGGCACAACGTGACACGGTATTATGCAAGGCAGTGCACACATGCTGCTGCTGCTGCTGCTGCTGCTGCTGCTGCAGGAACGCTGGACCGCCCACCAGCACATAGCTCTCCATGATTGCCGTTGCTACCTGGCAGTTGTAGGAAGGCAATCATATGGGATCACTTGAAGAACAAATGCATGCTGGATCGAAGGAACATGAGAACGCACGCGTGCTCCTGCTGCAGGAACGCTGGCCCGCCCTCCAGCACATAGCTCTCCATGATTGCTGTGGCTACCTATGCCGGTCCGCGCGCGCGACTTGGTTTGCGCGCGCGATGAGCCATGAGAGCAAGGCCACCCTTAGGTTTGATCAGCTCCCTCCAACAATCACGTAGCAATGCCAACGCCTTACCGGGAGGTGTTCAAAGCTGCGGTCCATGATGGGCACGAGGTTGGAGAAGAGAGCCATGAGCTCTGGCACCATGGGAACAGAATTGGGCAATGAGGCTGGTTCTTCCAACGCTTACCTGGCTAGCAACTCCATTATCCTTACCGGGAGGTGCTCAAAGCTGCGGTCCATGATGGGCACGAGGTTGGAGAAGAGGAGAGCCATGAGAACAAGGCTCACACTTTGGTCTGGTCTGCTCTCCTCAACACTCCACCTGGCAATGTCAAGGGCTTACCGGGAGGTGTTCAAAGCTGCAGTCCATGATGGGCACGAGGTTGGAGAAGGGCTGCTCCTTGTCAATAGTCACCTGCTCCCTGCAACGCTTACCTGGCGATGTGAATGGCTTACCTTGGCAAAGCCAAAGCGCTCACCGGAAGGTGTTCGAAGCTGCGGTCCATGATGGGCACGAGGTTGGAGAAGAGAGCCATGAGCTCCGGTACCATGGCTGGTGCATGGCGTAGAGTGGCTTGCCATAGCTGCACAGAGGGACGCACAGAGAGGGAAAAGACAACCAGAAAGGAGAGAGGCAAAGAAGAGAGCCATGAGCTCGGGTACCATGGCTGGTGCATGGCGCAGTGTGGCTTGCCATAACTGTGAGGAGTGGAGGGAGGGGTATGAAGAGAGAGTGCAGGAGAGAGCCATGAGCTCCGGCACCATGGCTGGTGCATGGCGAAGCGTGGCCTGCCATAGCTGTACAGAGGGACGCACAGAGAGGGAAAAGACAACCAGAAAGGAGAGAGCCATGAGTTCTGGTACCATTGCTGGAGGGAGGGAGACTCTTCCAGAATACCCTTCGCTATGGGTGTAGGAATGGTTTACCTGCAAACCGTCTTCTAACATATTGAGTTCGTCAGGCTGGGAGATGTCGGTGCTGTAGCGCAGGATGGGGAAGAGCAGCAGGTAGGGCTTCCCCACAAGTAAGGAATACACTCCCAGAGGCAGTGTGCACACCTTACACTGAGGAGCTTAAATCACGCACCTGCAGCCCGTCCTCCAGCATGTTGAGCTCATCGGGCTGGGAGATGTCGGTGCTGTAGCGCAGGATGGGGAAGAGCAGAGCAGTATGTACGCCTTACTATAGAGAACTTTCTCACGCACACACACACCTGAAGCCCGTCCACCAGCATGTTGAGCTCATCGGGCTGGGAGATGTCGGTGCTGTAGCGCAGGATGGGGAAGAGCAGCAGAAGCAGTATGTACCCCTTACTATGGGGAACGTTCTCACGCAGAAACGCACACAGGCACCTGCAAACCGCCTTCTAGCATGTTGAGCTCATCGGATTGGGAGACGTCGGTGCTGTAGCGCAGGATGGGGAAGAGAGGAGCAGCAGAGGCAGTATGTACCCCTCACAGAGGAATGGTCTACCTGCAATCCGTCTTCTAACATGTTGAGCTCATCAGGCTGTGAGATATCGGTGCTGTAGCGCAGGATGGGAAAGAGCAGCAGACGGTAGACGACGAGCCGTTTCAAGGTGACTCAAACGACACATAGCAGGCGGGGCAACGGTTCACCTCACCTGCAGCCCGTCTTCTAACATGTTGAGTTCATCTGGCTGTGAAATATCGGTGCTGTATCGCAGGATGGGGAAGAGCAGCGGGTAGGAGATGGGGGACTGCGGTCCGAGGGACACGATGAGCCGCTGCAATGCCTGCATGACCTGAATGCGCAGCAGCGGCTGCCCCTCTGATTGCTCCCACACCTGGTGGTGAGAGAGGAGGGCAAGGGTGCAGGGGTTGGCAAGGGTTGGTACGGGTAAGTGCAGAAAAATCTGGAATGAGAAGAGCAGCGGGTAGGAGATCAAAGGACTGCGGCCCGAGCAACACAACGAGCTGCTGCAGCGCCTGCATGACTTTAATGCGCAGCAGCGGTTGCCCCTCACTCTGCTCCCACACCTGGTGAGAGGGGAGAGACAGTGTCCAGGGGGTAGCAAGGGTTGGTATGGGAAGTTTCAGGAAAATTACGATGGGGAAGAGCAGCGGGTAGTAGATGGGGGACTGCGGTCCGAGGGACACGATGAGCCGCTGCAGTGCCTGCATGACTTGAATGCGCAGCAGCGGTTGCCCCTCGCTCTGCTCCCACACCTGGTGGTGAGAGAGGAGGGCAGAAGGTGTTACGGGTTCCGGTTAGGGAAGCAAGGGTTGAAACGTGTAGGTGCTGCAGTAAACATAAGGATGGGGAAGAGCAGCGGGTAGGAGAGCGGGGACTGCGGGCCGAGAGACACGATGAGCCGTTGTAGGGCCTGCATGACTTGAATGCGCAGCAGCGGCTGCCCCTCTGATTGCTCCCACACCTGGTAAAGGGGAGGGCGGAAGGGTGTTACGGGTTACGGTTAGGTGCAGAAGAATCTGGACAGAGGAAGAGCAGCGGGTAGGAGTTTGGGGACTGCGGGTCGAGCGACACGATGAGCCGTTGCAATGCCTGCATGACTTGAATGCGCAGCAGCGGCTGCCCCTCACTCTGCTCCCACACCTGGTGAAAGGGGAGGCAAACGGTACAGCAAGGGTTGGTACAGGAAGGTGAAGAAACTGCAGGATGGGAAAGAGAAGAGGTTAGGAGATCGGCGACTGCGGGACTGCGGGCCGAGAGACGCGATGAGCCGCTGCAGCGCCTGCATGACCTGAATGCGCAGCAGCGGTTGCCCCTCACTCTGCTCCCACACCTGGTGAGAGGGGAGGGAGGAGTGAATAGAGGGCGGGTTATAATGCGCAATGGCCCAATAGGGAGCATTACGAGAATGAAGATACAAGCAAAGGCGACTTATGAGTCGACTCAAAAGTTACCAAGAGGGCGGGTGAGCGTGGGGACTGGGCTAATAGGGGGCATCATGAAAGCATCAATATGAGCAACATCACCATTTTTGGCGACAGCAGGTAAGAGGCAACAGAGGGTAAGGAGCAGGTAACACGTTTATTCATTCATCGCTCTCACCTGGGGCAAGCAAGACAGGATCTTGTCAGCCAGAGGGACAATCTTCTCCCCCATGCGCTCTATGATGAGTGATACCACGTTCACTATCTGCAGCTGCGAGTCAAACTCCGACACGCTCAAGAGTATATACCGCTCACCTGGGGCAAGCATGAGAGGATCTTGTCGGCCAATGGAACAATTTTCTCCCCCATGCGTTCTATGATGAGCGACACAACGTTCACTATCTGCAGCTGTGAGTCAAACTCCGACACCTGTCAGTGATGCACGGGGAAAGTGACGCACGGAGATTGTAAAGTGGGAAGCGCATGAAGAGCATGCCAGGGAAAACTTTCTCTTCTCCCCCATGCGGTCTATGATGAGCGACACCACGCTCACTATATGCAGCTGTGAGTGTGCATGGCAGTACGTAAATCATGTGCATGGAATTATGTAAATTATGTGCAAGGCATCACCTGCTGCAGGCATCGGAAGAGCAGCTGCACGGCCGTGTCAAGGAAAGGGGTGATTTGGCATGAGGCGCACTGCATGTGCATCACGATTTGATTAGAGGGTAGGCATCATGACAGCATGTGAATCACCTGCTGCAGGCATCGGAAGAGCAGCTGCACTGCCGTGTCGAGGAAAGGAGCGAACTGGTCCTCATAGAAATGCACGTCGTCTATCAGCGTGCGGAGAGAAGAGACTGCTGTGAGCTGTATAAGGGGGGTTTGTGCGGGAAGGGGAGTGGGGGGAGGAGGGGGGGGAGAAGGAAACAATGTGTGATGGAGTGAACGGGTCCTTGTAAAAATGCAAGTCGACTAAGAGGCAAGCAAAAGGATGAGACTGCAATGAGGTGAATCTAATCCAATAAACTGCAGAGAACTCACCTGCACCACGAGGTAGGGATGAGCAAGGGGCGAACACGAACGTGTTTGCGTTCGCCCATGGACGAACACCCTTGTTCGGCGAACCGAACACTGTTCGGTTCGGCGAACACCTTAAGCAAAAACAGGTGTTCGCCGTTCGCCTATGAAGGCGTGTTCGGGCGAACCTCGAACACGTTCGTGTTCGTCTAGGGGCAAATTGCAGCAGCGGCCCGAACACGAACGTGTTCGGGCGAACATCGAACACTGTTCGGCGAACACTTTAAGCCAAAAAATATAACCTGTTCGGTTCGCCTCGAACGAACAGGTGTTCGTTTTTTTGCTCATCCCTACCACGAGGTCTTCATCTGGCAGCAGGGAGATGAGCGCCTGGTAGGCCGGCACACACAAGTCGCCCTCCACCTTGCCAAACCACTGCCCCACCATCCACGATTCCCACCCACCAGCAGTGATACAGCCTGCACCGCACGGAACCGCATTGGACCGCACTGAACTCGCCTGCACCACGAGGTCTTCATCAGGCAGCAGGGAGATGAGCGCCTGGTAGGCTGGCACACACAGGTCGCCCTCCACCTTGCCCACCCACTGCCCCACCATCCATGCTGCCCTCCCACCAGCAGATGCTACAGCCTGCACCGCACTGAACCGCACAAAACCGTACTGAACCGCACTGAACCGTGCTGCACCGCACTGAACTCACCTGGACCACCAGGTCTTCATCAGGCAGCAGGGAGATGAGCGCCTGGTAGGCTGGCACGCACAGCTCCCCCTCCACCTTGCCCACCCACTGCCCCACCATCCAAGCTGCCCGCCTGCGCAAGATTCGCGCGTTGGGATGGCGGCATGCCATGTCTGGTAGGAGCGCAGTGGTGAACCTGGGATGGGATGGTGTGAGGGGCGAGGAAGGAAGAAGTGGGGTTTGCTCATTGTCGCATGGAGGGAGGATTCATGCATTGGGATGGCGGCATGCCATGTCTGGCAGGAGCGCAGTGGTGAACCTGGGATGGATTGTGGGGGAAATGGGTGGAAAAGTGAAAGGTAAAGCAACAGGACCAACCGTACAACACATCGACATCAGGCACGTCGACAATGAAAGGCAATGGTAATGGTAGTGGTAATGGTAATGGTAATGGTAATGGTAGTGGTAATGGTAATGGTAATGGTAATGGTAATGGTGATGGTAATGGTAATGGTAATGGTAGTGGTAGTGGTAATGGTAATGGTAATGGTGATGGTAATGGTAATGGTAATGGTAATGGTAATGGTAATGGTAGTGGTAGTGGTAATGGTAATGGTAATGGTAATGGTAATGGTAATGGTAATGGTAGTGGTAATGGTAATGGTAATGATAATGATAATGATAATGGTAATGATAATGGTAATGGTAATGGTAATGATAATGGTAATGGTAGTGGTAATGGTAATGGTAATGGTAATGGTAGTGGTAATGGTAATGGTAATGGTAATGGTAATAGTAATGGTAATGGTAATGGTAATGGTAATGGTAACGGTAATGGTAACGGTAACGGTAATGGTAACGGTAAGGATAACGGTAATGGAAATGGTAGTGGTAATAGTAATGGGAATGGCATGTAATGGTAATGGTAATGGTAGTGGTAATGATTTTGGTAATGGTAGTTGTAGTGGAAATGGTAGTTCTAGTGGAAATAGTAATGGAAATGGCAGTGGTAATGGTAATGGTAATGGTAATAGTAATGGCAATGGTAATGTTAGTGGTAATGGTAATGGTGGCAGTACCATTATCACTACCATTACCATTGTAAGCACCCATCACTCACTCACCCGGTCTTGAAGTCCACAACATCATGCAGATCATAACACGCCACCCCCACAGCATCGTAACATGCGTCTTTGAGCAGCAAACCGGGGTGACAGGCACGTCGACATCAAGTGTCAACCACACCACACAACACCCATCCTCACCACTCACCACATCTTGAAGTCCACAACATCATGTAGATCGTAACAAGCCACCCCCACAGCATCGTAGCATGCATCCTTGAGCAGTAGAGCCGGGGTCACAGGCATGTCTGCATCAAGAATTAACCACACAGCACCCATCCTCACCACTCACCACGTCTTGAAGTCCACAACATCATGTAGATCGTAACAAGCCACCCCCACAGCATCGTAGCATGCATCCTTGAGCAGTAGAGCCGGGGTCACAGGCATGTCTGCATCAAGAATTAACCACACAGCACCCATCCTCACCACTCACCACGTCTTGAAGTCCACAACACCATGTAGATCGTAACAAGCCACCCCCACAGCATCGTAGCATGCATCCTTGAGCAGTAGAGCCGGGGTCACAGGCATGTCTGCATCAAGAATTAACCACACAGCACCCATCCTCACCACTCACCACGTCTTGAAGTCCACAACATCATGTAGATCGTAACAAGCCACCCCCACAGCATCATAGCATGCATCCTTGAGCAGTAGAGCCGGGGTCACAGGCACGTCTGCATCAAGAATTAACCACACAGCACCCATCCTCACCACTCACCACGTCTTGAAGTCCACAACATCATGTAGATCGCAACAAGCCACCCCCACAGCATCGTAGCATGCATCCTTGAGCAGTAGAGCCGGGGTCACAGGCATGTCTGCATCAATAATTAACCACACAGCACCCATCCTCACCACTCACCACGTCTTGAAGTCCACAACATCATGTAGATCGTAACAAGCCACCCCCACAGCATCGTAGCATGCATCCTTGAGCAGTAGAGCCGGGGTCACAGGCACGTCGGCATCGGGGGAAGCCGGCGGGGGGCATGCCTCCATGCACTGCCGCAGCATGTCAATCAGCGCGGGGGATAGCACCTGATGGGAGAGAGCAGGAAGCTGGAGAAGGAGAGCTTAAGCAGCAGACCAATTCAATGAGGCACTTCATAAACTGTGGAATTGAGGGAATGCAAGGACAGCGTCAGCAGCAGAGCTTGCTTACAGGAAGACCACTGCAAGTTAGCAGTACCTTGTCTTTCCTTGAAGCACACACACATTGCATTGTATGTCTTTGTCATCCTACCATACCTCCTTGAATTGCTCGAACAGAAGCAATAGCAGCGCCTCAGCACACGGCCGCAGCTTGTCCTTCCACTGCACGGCGCCCTGCTCGTGATAGAACACCTCTGGGTCAGATCCCCATTCTTCTAAATCCGCTGCTGTCAACACCAAGTAGCTGTCAGGAAGGCAAGGAGAGAAAGAAGAGATCAGGTGAAGGAGAAGTGAGGAGAAGGGTTGGTGCTTCTCCTTCCACTGCACGGCGCCCTGCTCGTGATAGAAAACCTCTGGGTCTGACCTCCACTCCTCTAGGTTCGCTGATGTCAGCACCAGGTAGCTGCCAAAAGGGAAACTGGCATAGGTAGAAAGAGGGAAATACGTGAGGAGGGAAGGAGTAGAGGTGGCGAGGTGACAAGGAGACCTGGGGCTTGTCCTTCTAGCGTGCTCCTGCTGCACCGAGCCCTGCTCGCGAGAGTGCAGCTCTGGTGAGAAGAAGGGGCGCTCCACTCACCGTTGCACGAGCACGCCTCCCAGCGCCACCACTTTCTCCAGCGAAAAAAATGCTTGCAGCTGCTGCCGGGCGACCTTCAGTAACTTCCCCATAAAACATACAAATATATAATAAATAACTCACCGTTGCACGAGCACGCCTCCCAGCCCAACCACTTTCTCTTGTGTCAAAAACGACTGCAGCTGATGCCGCGCCATGCCTGACAGCTTTCCCCTCATCTCCTCCGCTGATGCCACTGCTGCCACCACCACGTGCCCTGTGGGGTTCTGCTTGTATGCCACACACACACTACATGACTCGGCTGTGCATAGTACTCACCGTTGCACGAGCACACCTCCCAGCGTAACCACTTTCTCCTGTGTAAAAAAAGACTGCAGCTGATGCCATGCCATGCCTGACAGCTTCCCCCTCATTTCCTCCGCTGATGCCACTGCCGCTCCCACCACGTGCCCAGTAGGGTTCTGCTTGTATGCCACACACACACTACATGACTCGGCTGGTGCATAGTACTCACCGTTGCACGAGCACACCTCCCAGCGTAACCACTTTCTCCTGTGTAAAAAAAGACTGCAGCTGATGCCGCGCCATGCCTGACAGCTTCCCCCTCATTTCCTCCGCTGATGCCACTGCCGCTCCCACCACGTGCCCAGTAGGGTTCTGCTTGTATGCTACACAGCGCAGCACACTCTGCAGAAACAGCATACACTCTATCAGAAACAGGCCGTGGCTGGCAGCAGCAGAGGAGGCGGACGCATCAGTGGCAGCAGCGGCGGCGGCAGAAACGGGGGTTTGTGGACTGGAGGCAGAAGCAGAAGGGGCGGAGAGGGAGGGGGAGGAGGAGGAGGTGGGATCGGTGGTGGTGATTTGTGTGTAGCAGAAGTCGAGGGTGGGCAGGAGGACGTTTTTGGAGGCGAAGGAAAAAGGGTGCAGCTCGTGGGAGGCGACGAGCGTTTTGAGGAGCTTGACTGCCGCGCGGGAGAGGAAGGTGTGCAGGGGTTGCAGGGCTGGGCGCTGCTGGGAGATATTCCCTGCATGGGAGCAGGGAAGGGAAGAAAAAGGAAGGGACAGGAAGGGAACGGGGTAAATCTAGAGTTGACTCAAAAGGTATTTTGGTCTCTTCACAGAAATAGAGCGTCGGTTCACAGAGAGAGAGTGTCGACTCACAGAGAGAGGGAGTTGACTCAAAGAGAGAGAGCGTCGACTCACAGAGAGAGAGCGGTTGTGTGTCCTTTCCATAAGAAATCTTGCAAACGGATAAATGTGGCTTACGGAAGTTGAGGAGCGATTGCGCTGCTTCGAGAAACGCGGGCACAACTTGTTCCAGTACCGGAACCTCCTGTAAAGGGGACGTTTGTCGAAAAGAGATGTGCAAGGAAAGAAGGAATCGCTCCCAATGGTTGAGATGCTCTTGATTTTTGTTGCTTGCTATTGCCTCGATTCGCATAGGACGAGAGACGAGATGGAGAAAAAAAGTAGATGATGGTGGTAACAGAAGGAGCTGAAAGCACAAAAAACCCCCACACAAGCAGCAACTTACTTGCCTGAACGGATTTGAAGTCAGAAGGGAAACCAAACACAAGCATGCGACGGAGAGTCTTCACACACAGCAGCCACCTCTCACACAACAGCATCAGCGCCCCCCCTGCTGCCCCTGCTCCTGCTGCTGCTGCTGGGTCTGACCCTCCAGACTCGAGAGCACTCAGACCTTGCAGCAGAGACCCTGTGTCTCTCACCCAGTGCGCCCACGTGGGCTCAAACAGCTGGCTGGTCACCTGAGAAAAGGACAAAACAATGTTGGGGCGATGCAGGAGAAAGTACAAAAACGAATCTTAGAATCTCCAGAAGTACGTACATTCCAAGCAAAAGGTGATGATTAACGAAACAGCACGTGCTACTAGCAAGGGGTTGAAGGTATCTAGTCTGTCTCTTACCTGAGCGAAGGTGCGTTGATCCACACTCAGGCGCTTAGTTGAGAGTTCCTTCAGCACATGGTTTAGCACTAGATAGGTGCGCTGTGTGAGCAGAGGGTCCTGCGTCTGAAGCTTCTGCAGGAGAGTGGGAAATAGCTCTGACCTGGCCTTGCATGCATGTGATGTGGGAATGCATGGGCGAATAGTGAATGGCACACACGAATGAGAGATTGAAATGAGAATGGCATGAGGTAGGTGCGCTGTGTGAGAAGAGGTCCTGCGTCTGAAGCTTCTGCAGGAGCGTGGGGAATAGCTCTGACCTGGCCTTGCATGCATGTGAGAATGCATGAGCAAATAGTGAATGACACACATGAACGAGAAATTGCAATGAGAATAGCACGAGGTACGTGCGCTGTGTGAGCAGAGGGTCCTGACTCTGAAGCTTCTGCAGGAGAGTGGGGAATAGCTCCGACATGGCAGACAAAGATGTGTGTGATCTTTTAATTACAAACAGAAGGCATCATGTGACATCCCAGATCATCGCATGCCACATGCCATACATATATATGAATGGGTGTGAATGAGTGGGTGAGTCGCGGTGATGGAAATACGACTCGTCGGTTGCACTCATTTGCAAGGACGCATTATGAAACAAATCCAAAATAAGTCATTGCGATGAGAACACAATATAGTTCTTAAAATGGAAGTTTACAGTAAAAAAATTGCGGGGAGGGGAGGGGGTGGAAAAGTGCAAGCAAGGAGGAATCGCAAAGGATAGAGCGTATGCCCTCAATCATCCAATGGCGCGTCAATCTAATAAACACACACCCCAACCCTCCCACCCGTCACCACTCCCGCCCCTCACCGCTCTCACCCCATATCCCACTTCCCCCTATTCCCATGTCTTACTCACCATTCCCTGGGGTAGTCGATGCGGGCGATCTTGGCAATGAGCACGGCCAACTGCACGGCCACTTGGCTGTTATCATCTGCTACTAAACCCCATCTCTCTCACATGCTCTACACTCATGCCTAACTCACTCACCATTCTCTGGGGTAGTCAATGCGAGCGATCTTAGCAATCAGCACCGCCAGCTGCACGGCCACTTGGCTGTTCTCGTCCGCTACTAAGTCCAACAACCGTGCTCTCAACGCTGGCTTCTCCTCGTCTGATATGCCCCTGTGGGAGTGAGAGGGAGGGTGTGGAGAAAGGCGTGAGGGGGAGGTTTGGTGTGTGTGAGAGGGGATGTGATAGGGAGTGCGCGGGAGGAAGGCCAAGGATGCAGGATGTGTCATGTGACACGGCATCAACGCGTCTCGCCATCTATTCATAAACATGGGGTCGACAAGGGGTGTGACTCACTGTGTCTCTCGTCTAGCTCGCCAGTATCTGTTGATGCTGTTCTTGAAATACACCGCTGCCAGCCAGCCACCTGTTCCTTATTCTGTGCTTTACGCAATGTGAAAATGACCAGGTGTGCCTATACGCGACGTGAGTGTGAGCGAGTGTGACTCACTGTGTCTCTCGTCTAGCCCGCCAGTATCTGTTGATGCTGTTCTTGAAATACACCGCCGCCAGCCACCTGGCTCCGCCCTTCTGATCCAGCTCCTTGCGCGATATGATCTCCTGCCGAAGAACGGGGAGAGAGAAAGGGGAAAACGTTTGGGGGAAAAGGTGGGGGTGGGGGTGGGGGAGGAAATGAAATAAGGTTAAGACATCTAGTGAAGAGTTAGAGGAGGATAAGATGGAGAGAGGATATATATGGGGAGAGGTGAGAGGGGATTGGGATGAAGGTTGATTGAGAGGTCACACAAATCCAGACACATGGCTCCGCCCTTCTGATCCGGCTCCTTGCGCGATATGATCTCCTGTCCAAGCATCAGGCAATGGTAGAGATGGAATACGCACACACGACAAGAACGCTCTTATCTCATTTCATGATAACGCTTCAAGCTCTCATGAGAATGCGATTTCTCGGGCGTCTCAAAAAACACCGCAACGGAAGAGACATGATACGCACACATGACATGGAAGCTGACATGATAGCGCTTCGAAATCTCACTATAGTGCATCAGGGTTTTAATGAGGCAAGAGGGAGGAGACCTCTTTTTGCCGTACCAGGAGACATGAGCAGAAACCCACGCGGGTCTCGTACGCGTTAAGAGCCTGTTCCGCCTCTTTCCTTGTAGCCTCGTTAAGAGCTGCTTCTAAAAGGTTGTAGATGGGTCCGGCATCTGCTGTTGTCAGCGCCATATCCGCTGCTCCGGCGAATTAAGAGAGGCTATGTGAAAGAGCCTTAAGTTGTTAAGCTGCAGCGTCCGCCGAACGATCGGACACTACAGCGGAAACTGGAGATGGCAATGGCGCGGATGAGAACTCAGGAAATGCCTGCAGATGGTTCGATACTGTTCGGGGTTTGACTAAATCGAGCGCTCGTTAAGCACCCTCGGGGCTACACTGGCTACACCACGTATTTCGGCGCAAGGAACAGAAATTCGATCAAATTCCAATGTGACGGCGATAAAGGAATCTTCGTAAATCCGATCCGGGTGCGCAGTGGTACTAAATTCGATTTGAAAGACCAAATGACACGTTGAAAGGAGAACACGATGCCCGTTCGTCCGATGAGAGAGACAAAGGAGAACACGTCACGGCCAACTACACGAGCCTTACTGGTAAGAGAATGAGAGGAGATAGTGACAGGAATGCGGTAAGAGGGGCCAAGCGTGAGATATGGGTTGGAGTGGGGTGAGCCAGCAGAAATGGAGGCTCTGAGACGGTAGCATGCCTGATGATGATCAATAGTCACGGCGGGAAGATATACATGACAAATGCTAATATATCACTTTCCTTTTTTCACCTGGATTTTTACTACACAGTGGCTGGTGTGTACAATATAGGCACTCAATATGGGAGGGATCGAACTTGACAGGTTTCCTGGCTCGGGTACGAGGCTAGCGCGAAACCTCATGGCACACCTCAGGCTGGTTCGGTAAGGAGAGATAGGGCAGGTGATTGGCGGACGGTAAAGCGGTCTGGAGGGACGGGTGGTGGCGGCCTCAGGGGCGGCTTGATTTCGGTGGACCTGATGAGAAAACATCGCCGAGCAAGCAAGCAGACCGCACGCCCAAGGGAATCCCGAACCGAGCCGAGACCCGTACCTCTCCCTACTTCCCTAGCCTAAGTTCCCTCGGTTCGGAGAGATGCGTACCCATGAGCAGTCCGGGCCTGACCTGACCCATACTTGGTCCGTGGCTGAGGTGCATAAACGGCATCAACCGAACCGAAATGAGGGCCAAAAGCGATAACCACCTACTATTTTAAACTATAGAAAGCAGCCAGCTCACTCCCTCTCAGCAGGTTCTGATGATGATGTGTGTTGATTCGACGTATTTATGCGGAGCAAAAAAAAGTAACATCCTTTGCGAGTTTTGAATAGTTGGCAAGGCGCGTATCAGGTCGGGGTAAATTTATCAGATGGAAGCACAGGTACGTGAGTAAATGCTTCAGAGCGGGGAGACTCCTACACTAGACTCGTGGAGTTATTTATTCGCGGTTCATTTGAAAGCCCCAGCAGGCCGAAATGCCTTGAGTAAGGAGCTTAGAAAACATGCGCACGTCCCAAGTCCGCGGCAATAACTCAGTGGATACCTTTCATTAGAGGCCTCGATTCCTCCTTTCCGTGGTCTCGCTCTGGCTCCAATGCGTGATTTTTTTTTTTTTTTTCGCCTACGCGTTTCCTCTCACGCCAGCGTTCTGCAGCGTTCCGCTTAAGCCTCTTCCCGATCTCCCTCGATTGAGTTCGCGCTATTCCGATGCCGCCTTGTGAGCAGGAAGGGCAGGAGGAAAGCAAATCGACGGGCAAGAAGCACAAAGATGGGAAGAAGAGCCATCGGGTGCGTCCACGTGTCTCGCATTTTCTCCATGCAGTTCGTGCTCCTTACACATTTTTGCTTTTCTCCCAAGTTTCGTCTCCAATCCCTCGCACCCCGGTTACAACTTTCTTTCCTCGCGCCGTTACAGCCATTCACTCCCATTGTTCACTAGACTCGCGCGTCAAATGCATAGTCTCCATCCACCTTCTCTACTTTCTCCTTCCCTCCCCCAAACCCCCCCACCCCTCTTCTTCCCCCCCCTGTCTCTCACCCCTCCTCCCATTCTACCCCCATTCTCCACCGTTCACCCTTGTCCCACCCTTATCAACCCACCTCACCCTACCCCGCTGACACTATCTGCTTATTTTTTACAGAAAGAGGCATTGGAGGAAATGCGGGGGGATGTAGAGCGGTTGAAAGGCGAACTCCAACAAGCAAGGGAGCAGCTTGCAGAGGCAGAAAAGACCAGAGCCGATTTATTGGTTAAGTATGAAATCCTGGAGAGTGAAAAGGTTGTTTTGGAGGGGCGTTTGGAGGAGAGGGAGAAGGAAAGAGAGGAGGAGAGATTGGAATGGGTTAGGAGGTTGGAAGAGTTTGAGAGGAGGTTGAAGGAGGAAGAGGAGGGGAGGAGGGAGGAGAAGCAGAAACGGAAAGAGGAGAAGGAGAAGCGGAAGGAGGAGGAGGGGAAACGAAAGGAGGAGAAAAAGAGGAGGAAAGAAGTAGAGGAGGAGTTGACACGTGTCAAGCAGCGATTGGAGGAAGAGGAGGCTAAGTGTGGGAGGATGGAAGGGGGGAGTGCTGGGTTGAGAGAACTTGTTGATACAGCAGCAGAGGCGAGAGGGCCAGTGGAGGAACGGAGCAGCAGTGAGGAAGGGAGCGGATCACTGGATAAAAGGGAGAGTGAAAGGGAGGACAAGAGTCAGTCAGTGGAGAGAAGGAGCAGTGAAGGGGAGGGCGGAGGAAGTGCGATTGATGATGATAGGAGCAATGCGACGAATGGAGGGATATCTGGGCTTGGAGATGAGAGAGAGTGTGAGAGAGAGTTAAGTGCACGGTTGGCAAGTGTTGAACTGCGTGCCGTGAGAGCAGAGGGAGAGGCGGAGGGTTTGAGGCGTGAGCTGGAAGCTGTGAATGCCACGCTGGCAGATACGAGTGCCAAGCTGGCAGATACGAGTGCCAGGTTGGCAGATGCGAGTGCTGAGCTGGCAGGCTTGAAAGGACGGGAGACGGACGCACAGGCATACGTGGATGAGTGTGGAGAAGAGGGAGTGAGGGAGAAGGGAAGTGGGGAGGAGGTGGGGGGGAGCAGGGAGGAGGTGGAACAGAGGTTGAAAGAGGCAGAAGAACAGAGGGATGCTGCGGAGAAACAGAAGGTGGAAGCGGAAAGACAATCGGAGGAGGCGGAGAGGCGAAGGGAGGAGATAGAGTTGCAATGGAAGGAGGCGGAGAAGGGACGGGAGGAGGCAGAGAGACAAAGAGATGAGGAAAAGAGGCAAAAGGAGGAGGAAGAGAAGCGAAGAGAGGAGGCTGAGAGGCAGTGGAAGGAGGCGGAGAAGCGACGAGAGGAGGCAGACGAGAGGGCGAAGGGCCTTGAGGGTCGACTGAAAGTTGAAGAGGGGTCAGCAGGAGACACCATGGGTTTGAATGCGAGCGGTGTGCGTGACCCTTTAGGTGAAAAGGTTGCGGGACGTAGAGGGAGTGAGCAAAGGAGGGAGGTGCATGAGGAGAGCTGGATGGGGGATGCGGGGGAGAGTGTGGGGGGAAACATGGAAGCAGAGGTGGAGGTGGAGTGTCTCAAAGAGCCTCAGAAGGTGGAAGTGTTGCTCATTGAGAATCTCCCCAAGACGGAATCGGAATTATCACCTGGAAACACACTTCCTGGAAAGACGCCTCCTGGAAATACACTTTCTGAGATGGACCGGGAGCGGGAGGCGGAGCTTGAGTTTCTGCGCAACCTGAGGGAAGATCTGGAGCGAGAATTGGACTCGCTTCGCAATCAGCTCGATTGCAAGCCGCAGTCCGAGCCTGCTTCCAAACCTGTTTCTCTTGGTCGCGCCAAACCTGGTGGTGCCGAGTCTGCGGCTGCTGATTCCGGCGATGCTTTTTCCAAAGCTGGGGGCAACCGAAGTGAGAGCCAGCCTAACAACAGCACCTGCGGATGCACCTGTTGCAGCAGATGCAGCTGTATCTGTAGCATCAGCAGCAGAAACAGCAGCAGCACCAGGAGCATCGCAGAAGCAGAAGCAGAGATCGATCGTTTACAATCCGTGAGAGGAGATCTAGAGAGAGAGTTAGAAGACTTGTATCTAGAGTTGCAACGGGAGCAAGAGCTCTCAGCCGAAGCAAGCCTTTTAGCCGAGAAGGAATGGGAGCGACGGCAGGAGGCGGTTAAGATGTTGTCTCAGTTGGAGAGACAGCTGGGGGAGGCGTTTGGAGGGGCGGTGGCGGAAGGGGGGGTGGTGGTCGATGCGAATGGTAGGCCGATGTCGCCGCTAGTGGGGAGTTTGAGTGGGTCGGGAGCGGTGGGGAGGAAAGGCAGGGGAGGGGGCGTGGGAGGGGGTGTGGGAGGGGTGTCTGTTTCGCCGCTTGGTAAGTTGGGGTTGGGATGGGAGGGTTCGGGTGGGGAGGATAAGGAAAGCTGGCCGTATTTATGTGGTGGTGATTTGGAGGGGGGAGCGAATGGGGGAGTTGGGGAGGGGGGGATGGGAGGCATGAGGAGGGTGCTGTTTGGTATAGAGGAGCATGGGGAGGAGGAGGGTGCAGCAGCAGGAGAAGAAGCACAGGCTTCCTCGCTTGCCATGGCAGCCACAGGCACAGCAGCAAGTGTAGAGCGGCTGTGTATAGAGAAAGAAGAGATTCACAGAAGGGCAGGGGAGGGAGTTGAGGGGAAGAATGAGGACGGTGACTGGGATGAGATTTGGAGTGAAGGAGACGATGAACAAGAGCTTGAGGTGATGAACCGTGGGGAAGGTCAGGGTCAGAGGGAGGAAAGGGAAACGGAGGGATGCACCAGCACCAGCACCACCACCAGCAGGCCTCTGCTTCACATCCGCCCTCCCCCACGCACACTCCCTAGAGCCACATCCGATATAGTCACATACGTGCGAGATGCAAAAACGGCCCTGTGCCTGCCATCTTCTCCTGGAGAAGACAAGTTCTTTAGCACTAAGTTGCCGGAATTGAGAAGGAGAATGACGGGTGAGGGGCCGTATAAGCCGTCTTCTTCTCCTCGTGAGGATGAGTTTTCCAGTGCTAAGCTGCCGGAACTGCGGAGGAGAATGAACAACTTCTCGCCTCTGCACTCACCCCTGGTTCATTTGAGAGGGATGCAGCTGGATGGGGAAGCTGAGGTAGTGGCAGCAGCAGCAGCAGCAGCAG